TGATGTAGATAGGTGTGTGATCTCCTCCCTGGTGTTTTCTATAGTCCACAATCATCTCCTTAGTCTTACTGATGTTCAGAGAGAGGTTGTTCTCCTGGCATGCTGCCAGAGTTTCAACCTCCTCCCTGTATGCAGACTCTCTCAACGGTGCGAAATTGAAGAAAACAATGCCTAATCTACATCAACACATCGACAGGCGTTATATCTTTTTTTTTTTAAGTGCTGGGATGGAAGACTTCTAATGAAAATCTATTTGCTGCACTAAGTAGTGTTGAACCATAAGGAGGTTGAATTAGGGAGCCTACTGTGTGTGAAGAACTGGATTATTTGGCAAAGGAACCAGTATAGTATGTATATATAGTCAAAACTAGATATAATCAAAACACTGTAAAAGGAATTTCTACCAGGAAATTAACTAATTGATTTCATATGCTTCATCACTCCAGGACAGCCCTGAAACACTGACCGCCCTTCAACACACACTTAGGTGTATGTGCGTGAATCACAATGGTTGTATTTTTCATGAAATAACAGTAACACTAGTGGACGTAAAGTCTTAAGATGAAGAAGCAGTGCAAGTGAAAGGAAGTGTGTGCATCCTATAAAACGCCCTTCAGAATCCTTTGGCATGAAAAGAGCTTTAAAATTTAAGAGATTATCACTCTTAAAATCAATACGCACTACATCAGAGGCTCTCAGTCTTAGTCCTACAATACCCCTATCTGTGCACCGGATGACACTTTATTCTGTAGTCTGACCTTGGTTTTAATGCACTCTGGTACAGTGATTCTCAAAGAATAATTGATTTTTAGTTTATATTTAAGGCCTTGCTTTCTGGAAACAGTTGCAGCTCCCCGTGATCCTGTTTTGGATGAAAAGGTTAGAAAATGGATAGATGTATTTGAGATTTTATTTCACATATACCTTCAGCTCCCAAAAAGATGAATGAGATGTGTAATCTTCGTTAATGATCTTTTGCACTGCTTTTATTCAGGTGTGTGAGCTAACCAATTGAACTTGAGTAGGAGGATAATCTGACTGTGAATGAGTCTGATAAGTGTCACTTCTACTGGTTCATCACCATTTGGTCAACTGTTAACAGCTAGTCAGAATTTGTAAGAAATTCTTAATTAGCAAGCTGGGAAGAGACTGCATTTGGGGGAGGGGTATTTTTAACAAGTCTCTATTGCTGAAAAAGTCGAAACCAGCAAGCAGATCAGTTATTGGTGCCAAGTGGTACTAGTGATTAAGAGTCTTTATTATGCTCGAGGGTGACTTTTTGTTTTTACAGCAGCAGTTGGTGTGCAGACGAAGAACGAAGGAAAATAACGACAAACAATAAACCGCATACATTTTTGCATGAAGGGTTTTGTTGGTGCAAACAAAACAGATAAAAGGCTTCCCAGGACCAAAATTGAAAAGCACTGAACAACTTCAATCGCCCATCATCGTTTAAGTTTTTTTGTATCACTTTGTAGAATGCTATAGGTTGTTAAACCAATCTTTTTCTAGTTGTGTATATTATTGTTTTACGTGTTGGGGGGGGGAGCCACACTTTACTAACGCGCTCAATTAGCTAGAGCCCACGTCTCGCGATAAAATCCGAGAATCTCCTCCTGTGTTGCAAAATGACACGGAAAAGGAAGACGCCTCAGTGATGCATTTTTTCCGCGACAGCTACTCAGGTAGGACCCTGCCGGGGGAGAGGCTGTAGAGCGAGAGCCAAGATGGCGGAAGGTGGAGGGAAGGCACTCTAAGATAAATCGCCGTCCGAAAAATAGGTACTGTAATCTTTATGCTTGGTTACGGTACTGATTTGGTATCACAGCGCTGCCTTCTTTAGCGCCGCACAATCGAGACGTATGGATGAACACACGTATATGTATTGTCGTTTTGAGAAATAATAGCAGTACTGGAGAAATGCGTTGTGCCGTGAAGCGACTTTCCAGATAAGCGCTGTTTATTCGATTCATGTGATAAGTAGAGGGTCATGCTTATTTTCTTAATGCAGCTCCTAACGTTCTATTAATAAAAGGATTTAATAAGACTGAAACATCCTGCTAACGATTGCACATGTTGTTGAAATGCGTACTTAACTAGTAGATGGTGACCTTACATTTTTTTTTCCAGTTAAATTGAAAGTGATCTGTGTAGGGTACCTGGCAGTCGGAAATGAAGCAATCTCGATTTATGGCGGTCTACAAACTTAGAAAGCGTGGAATAACTTTCCTCCTCTGTGAGGGAAAAAAAATGCAGAGAACGCAAAGTTTAAAAAGTGCATTATCACATTGCCTGGTGCTTTAGCTATCTGTTGAAACGTAGTTTTAATACTTTCTTTCCGTGTTCATTATCAGTACCAAAAGTCTTTTATCGTCTGAGCTGGGTCTTAAACGTTTGATTGAACCGTGTCTTAAATGTCCCTGAAATTGGCTTTGTCCTCTCGATGAAGCCTGTTTTGAGCGGACGGAGACCTTGGTATTAAATGTACGATTGGCTCTTGCCCTTGTTCCAGTTAAGGAGTTTTACGTTAATATCGGCTATCTCGCTGCACACGCCGTAGTCCTCGAGTAAACGTGTAGTTGAAGTGAGTAAATCGGAAGCCTGTCGCTTTTGACCTGCTGACTGTGGCCGCGACCGCTGACGCTGGCCGTGCCTGATGTTCACAAGCCCCAGTGTAGTTCTGGGCGTGGAGCCGGCGGGGTGATCTTCTGACTAGGGCACCAGCTCACTCTTTCTCTTGACCTCTTTCTATCGCCACATGGTGGTCAATTCAAGACCGAGGTCCTCCTGGCCTCCTTTTACCCCATGCCTTTTGCGACAAACTTGCCTCCGTTCCGTAAAGGTTTATATGAAGAGGAAATATGTGGAGGTACACCAACCCTGTCCTTATTGGCAGCGAGTAACGCGGGGTAATGGAGGCGGCTGTTTATAACGGCGTGTTAAAACACACACTCGTAATGTTATAGCTATGAAGGAGAGGGCACAGTTTGGAAATGCCGTGACAGTTCACTGACGGGTGCTGTGTGCAGGTGAAGATGTCGGGGGTCCGGTTTCGGGCTGAATGCAGCTGGAAGAGGCACATCGCCGAGCAGCTGAAGCACAGAGACCGCGTCCAGAGACAGGCCTTCGAGGAGATCATTCAGCAGTGTGAGTCATTGCGCGCCCCACACCTAGCGCCACCCGGGCGGGGGGCTCCGATTCTCGGTTTCAAGGACTTGTATACGACACCTTGCAAGTCTTGAGCTGCTGCTTTATTTTTAAGGTAAATAAGTCGCTTTTGCATTGGTAAACTTATTTGCTAGCGGGTAAGTTTTAAGTGGAGTGCTTGAATGTTAATTTGCCTTTTTATTCAGGTTTTCTGAGACAGCTGGGCAAATGATTCGATGTGCGATTGGGTTGCTTATTGTGTTAAACATTTTCCTCAACGAAGGCAACCGTGATTATTTAAAAAAAAAAATACTGCCATTTTACGTAGGAAATTTTCCTTCCCTTTTCCCTCACAGATAACAGACTCCTTGAGAAAGCAGACTTGCAAGCTGTTCTTGCAGAAAGACGCCAGACTGAGAAATACGATATCCAGAACAGACATGACCTGAGGTATTGGAGTCTCTCTACACTTAAGCTGTAAATGAACATGTACTTGTCCTCTTACTATGTTTATAGTGTTGGGTGGTTTTTAAATACTTCACTAAAACCCTACATGTGAGTGTTGACAAGATGAATTGTATCGGAGCAGTAGGAGCTCACTGCCTGTGGTTTGCAGCCCAGGGGCGGATGGGGGACGAAGTGAGACCCTGGTCCAGGAAATGTCCCAGATCCGAATCAAACACCAGGAGGAGCTGACTGAGCTGCACAAGAAGCGCGGCGAGGTCAGTGTGCTTCTCTGGCCGGCCGATAAAAGAATCGGGATGTTTTGTGCATCTGTCTCTGTCACTGAATTCTTCAGGTGGATTTTAATCTCGTGGCATTTTTCATTCCTGCTACAGCTGGCCCAAAATGTTATAGAACTGAATAACCAAATGCAACAGAAGGATAAGGAGATCCAAGCCAATGAGGCAAAGTGAGTATCAGTGGCCAGTCCTGTGGACTCCGTGGGTCTGGTTTACATTGTGCTAGGATGTTCTAGTCCTTGCCTTGTTCTGAAATAATGATCTCTGCTCTTTAATTTTATTATTCATATTAATTGCTTTGGTGCCATATGTAAAGCTCTATTTTTTCCTGGCTTTTGTAGTATCAAGGGTGGTATTTGTGACAGGTTATCAACCAAGTTAATGTCTGGAACATTAAAATTGGAGGTCTGCTTGCCACTGACATGGCTAACAAGGAAAGGTGTCATTCCTAATTTTGCATTTCAGTCTATTTCTCCGTGCTGTGAGGGAGAAATCCAATACATCTGAAAAATCTGAATACCTGATAACCTATGAAAAAGCTTCAGCTGTATTGCATTGAGGAGTAAAGTCTCCTAATCTGCTGGACTGTATTTGATCTGGTCCGTGGTCCTCTATTGATTAGAGTTTTCTTTCCAGATCTTTAGGTTCTACATCAGTGATTAGAAATGAAAAAAAAATAGTTCTAGATGCCAATTGTAGAACAAAGGCCAGATGCAGGTTGATGCAAAGATTGACTAAAAATGACCTGTCTACCTTTAGGGAACTACCTGTGGTTTAGCATGACTGTTTTGGTGTCCCTTGGCCAGTAAACTAATCTAGGGTTCATTCTTCCTGAAAAAGGTGAAGAGTAGTTTTTTCAGATGAAGGGATAAGGCTCTGACACAGAAGGCTATAGGTTCAAAGGCCAGGTGAAACTCTGCGTTTGTGTATCCTTGAGCAAAGTCCTTCACTCCATTTGCTCCAGGTAAATCCCCTGCTGTTTAAAGGGGTACTCACGTAAGTCACTTTGACTAAAGGTGTCCACCATATTAATAATACCAGGATCATGAATACTGATTTTCTGTTGACCATTCTAGGAATGAGGTATTTAAATGTTGGCATTTGTTGATGAAAATTACCTACCCATATTCAATTATTTCTTTTATAAAAACTCAAGTCAGTTTTTGCTCCTGCTACTGGCAGAAAGCTCTAACAAGTGTGTGCCTGTTAAGAGCCCTTGGACCACATAGGGCCTTGCATGTGGTTTTGAAAGAACCCAAGGTTATAACCCATCTGGTTAGCCAGGTCTTTTGTTATATGCTCATGCTTGCAACTATTGATGTATTTAGTTTGAGAGCCTTTGGGAGGTAAAGGAGATAATGAGTAGTTCTCAAATATTAATCATTGAGTGTCCAAAGCCTGAGATGGTGTATTTGAGTTGCTCTTGCCTCATGGTTTACTTGACTCTCTCTCTCTGGCCCGGCAGGATGCTGGAATACCAGCAGCAGATCGCCCAGCTGGAGGGGGAGTGCCGGGAGCTGAGGAGCAGCCTGCAGGACCTGGAGCGGGCCAATCAGACCCTAAAGGACGAGTACGACGCCCTGCAGATCACCTTCAGCGCCCTGGAGGAGAAGCTGCGCCGCACCACGGAGGAGAACCAGGAGCTCATCTCCCGCTGGATGGCCGAGAAGGCGCAGGAGGCCAACCGGCTCAACGCCGAGAACGAGAAGGACTGCAGGTCAGTGAGGGCTCTTCCCCCCCCGGCCTCTCCAGCCAGCCAAAAGCTCACTTCCAAGCAGCTGTGTCATATTGATCCAAGAGGGAGGGATTTGTCATAAAATGCAACAGAGTAGCAGTAATGGCGTTTTAGCTTCTTGCATCCTGGCCTTGTGTGATATAATTAGAACATGGAGGCTAAGTATATCCGTTACAGAAGTGTTTTTGGGAAACATGAGTAATTCTCCTGTTTGGTAATTCTGAACCTTTTTTTCTGTAATAGTGTGGTATAATCACAGTAAAGTGTCTTGGATTCTTAAAATGCCTAACAGTTATAGAATCGTGGACAGCAGGCTTCTTGCCTTTTGAGCTGAAATAAACCTGCATCAAAGGAGGTACTTTCTTGTTGGGTGGTGAATATTACCACAAGTGGAGAGTGTGTAATCTGCTGAAGTAGACGGGTCTAGTTTATTGCAATGTAACTTTCATTTCCAGACGCAGACAAGCCAAACTGCAGAAGGAGCTTGCAGAGGCAGCGAAGGAGCCTCTGCCCATAGATCAGTGAGTTGATGTTTTTTCAGAGTCCTTGGTGCTAGCTAGGCTTCCCTGAATCCAATTTAGTTGGAATAGGCTTTCTTCTCCTACACAAAACTGTGGAGAACAGTTGGAGTGAAATTAAAATGAGTTCTAGAATATACTTTTCTCCTTTTGAAGGTAAGAGTTTGGTTTCCGTTCTCTAGGTTTAAAGGAAAGGATAGTGGCCCAAGCCAGAATGAGTAAGAATTCCTTTCATTACTGCAGACTAAAGTTAATACTACACAGAAGGTTAAGATGTCATTTCGCATCTGGTCCACCATTCAAAATCTCTCGGCAGTGTCATGGTGTACTGGGCATATGTGCTTCTCATCACTTAAAGTGACTAGACAATGACTGCTTGAAGAAATTCTATCATGTTCCAATCAAAAATTGGTAATAGACAAAGCAATTACAAAGTGAAATTACAAGGAGCAAAGTGAATTACAAGAAATCAAAAGAATGGGGGGGGGGGGGAGACAAGTGCAAGAAATGAATGGAAAGTACATGTTCTTGCTTTGGTAAAGCAAGATCTAGTTTAAATGAAGTCTTGTAATGCAGTTGAGTTATACTACTCTTGCGCAAAAAGAATGTGGCACAGCAGGTTTAATACTTGAACTAGCTGCATATCACTGGCTCCGCAAGAAGCATGCGTTTACGTTTAAGATTTGGAACAAAGGTCTTCCCATGTTAAGTGAAAACAGTTTTTGGCAGTATTTTCTTCATTCTTTTAGTATCCTTATGTATAGAGATGTTCTGGTGGCTTCCCCTCATTTGTAAAAATTCAGCTGTTCTTGTTGTTTTCTTTTTTTGTGTATCATGTTAAAATCCACCTGCAGAGCTGGGGTGGAGATCATCTGTTACAAAGAATCAGCTCCAAACTATGCAGAGTTTTTAAAGGGTTTGTGTGCATGCAACTCTAGCCCTGTGAAAACCTAAGCCAATTTTCCAGCTGGTCAGGGAGTAGAAAGTTGCTGATGGCCCATTTTCAGGCTGTTTGATCCTGAAAGGCTTTTTAATCTGTTGCTATTATAGGAGGGCTGCGCTGCAGTAATATAGAGCCAACAAAAACAAATTGGGTTTTGTTCATTTAATATACATTATACAATCAAACATTTCTCAAGTTTCAAATTCAGGGCAGATGTTTTTGCTACTAAATTATTGTGCAGTTACAAGTATTTAGCTTGTAACGGTGGGGTTAGCAGAGTTTAACTTCCCTATAAAATTGGCATGTTTATGCAATTTCTCTTACTGAAGTGATGCCATACTTGCCACATAATTTTATCTCTATATCTCTGAATGTGTACTAATTACTGTATAATTAGCAAAGACATAAAAGAAATCCAAAGTGAGAATTTATACCATATAGCTAAGCCAAATACAAAATTGTTCACAACCAAACAGTACATTTTTCTCAGCTAAAAACATTGAGCAGTAGTTTAATTGGCAATTAAACTGCTGGCAGTGAAGTGTGTTTCATTAACAGTCAGTCAAGCTTTCCGACACTTATTGCTTAACACAAGTTAAAAATGAGGTGGAAAATAAAAGCTAAGACTGCAGTTGAAATATTTGCAGTTTTAACACCTAACCAGCTCAACCAGTGGCTGAGATCCGGTCCTAACTCCAGCAGCTGTTTGCTCCACCCTCCCCTTTCAGTTCCTAGAGAAGGATCCACCTTCCCTCACATCTTTTTAGCTTCTGACCATGAGCGGGCCAGCAGTCAGAAGGCAACGCCAGCCGCACACTGAGTAGGAGGGGTTAGCTGAACCATCTACAATGATGGGGCACTACTGCAGGAGCTGGGGCTGGGGGCAGTGCAGATGCAGGTGTGATCTTGTGTTCCCCATCCACAGAGATGATGATATTGAGGTGCTACCAGAGGAGGCTGCAGAGCAGGCAGGGGACACCTCACCCACCAGAGGAGCCTGCCGTACACCCAGGTAGGAGCTATGGGAGTTTGAGGGCTTGGATTGTGGGTGCTGGAGCTCAGAGCATCTGGAGTCACTGTGGAGTATGAAAGCCCATCTATCCTCACTGATTCAGAATTGCCCTTCTGAGACTTTATGCTGCATGTCCTAATTCTTTGCTTTGGATTGTTTTTGAAAGTTTTCCCTTAAAACGGATTCCTAAAGAGTCCTATATGAGCAGGGGGTTGATCTTCTCTTTGCCTTAGATACTGGGTTATCTGAATGCATCATACTGGTCCCTTTATCTGTGGATCATGTGGCGGTCTTACATGATCTCTATGCCATTTAGAGCAATCGTGCTGTGTATTTGAGGTTATTTAAGTGTGCTAAAATGTAGAGCAGCTCATTGTTCTTCCCAGTGGCACCTGTAGTAGTTTAAATACACCTTTCCACGGTTCTCCAGTTTAATTCAAATTCTGATGTTCTCAGTTAAGGGTTGTGGGGAGGAAGGCTCCTAGACTGATCAAAAGACAGACCCCTTTGTCAGAGGCTAGGATTGACCCTATAGCCTGGGGGCTCATGGTTCAAACTAGGCCGTGTTAGAAGGAGCTGTTCCCGTTGTTGGTTGCATTTAGCAGAAAGGGGCTGTCTGTTATTTGTTCAGCACTAGAGCTCTGCTGCTTGCGTTACGGGTTCACGGTGCAGGACAGATCAGGTGTTTTGGTGAGGAGCACGTCTCTCAGGTCAGCATGGAATTGCATCAACTGTCTGATCTACAAATAAATGTCCGTTGATGAAAATAGTGCGCATACTTTTGTGATTCTTCCTCTTAATTGAGAATTTTTCAGTTTTCTTTGTCACCTCCTTTTTCCAGTAAGCGAAACTCCCAGCAGCCACCCGGAGGTCTTCTGGACTCCATTTCTAATATCTTTGGGTAGGTGGGCATGTTTCTGTGCCAGTCTTTCTGTAATTAGCAAGAGGTGTGCTGTTATGCATTGCAGTGATACATTTTGTTCTTTCTTTCCATGCCTTGCTGTGTCCTGTCCTGACTTCCTGTGTCTTCAACCCAACTCTCTCTCCACCTGGACTCTCCTGTCTTCGGCTTCAATTTGACGTCTGTGTCCTCAACTTCATTTCCTTTTATTGCTTTTTGTTAACATAACTGTACAACTTCAACTGTCCCTCCTGCCCCCAACCTCTTGAATGTTCTTTGTTGGAACATGGGGTTGATTCTCTGCCTACACTGCAGCCTATCTGAGTCTCCAATTCTAGGGCACCATATTTCTGATCGTTCCAGGTGAATCTTAGGGAAAATTACATGGCTTGGAGGTTTGATGCCAGGCACCATTATTGCACAAATATTTCAGTTTGAAAGTATGAGGTGGTTAACACAGCAGATTTCACTGATGGTTTTAAAGAGTCAAGTGATTTTGCTTGAATTTTAAAACCCTTTAATAGTAGGAATTTGTATACCTTCTAAAAATGAGTAAATATTCAGTCTAGTCAGTTCAAAGATACTTGTAAAGCAAAATACTATTTTCCATAAGTTGCTTATATTCTGATAGTGTACTATCAAGGTAGAACTGTAAGATCTAAAACTGTCAAAGGCTGGTTAAGCATGATCTGAAATATGCAGACTGGCAACACAATTGCTTTAACGTGAGAAACAAGCACAAAGAAAACTGCATAAGGAAGATTTCACAGGGATTTAAGGAGTGATTAATTTTTACTGGGTAATTCTTTACATTTTGAAATCTGGGTTTTGTGATCCTTACATTGATTTCTGCTTACCCAGACGTCGCAGTTTGAACTCCTTCGGCAGCTCTCCGGAAAATGCCGAGGCGCACACTGGGGTGTGCGTGGAAGTGCGGGTTCCCACCACACCGCTTCATGTCTTCGTGAGTGTTTGCCACAGTTCTGTGACCACTCCAGAGGTCTGTGATGTGAAGTAAAAGGTCTGATGCCCACTGTCCTGTCCCAGCAACCCTTTGGCTCCCAGAAGCCCCTGCTCTTCTTCCATCATGCTCTAGATATGCATGTTGGGCACAGGTGCTTCTGACAGCCTGGATGTCCTCTTGACCATTTCACCCAGAGACCGTGGTGTTGAATGCATGAATGACATCCAACACCTCAAAGCATTAAGGAGCTTTTGGGTCTGTTGTGAGGACTGGAGCCTGATCTCAAGTTTTCAAGCTGAGACCTTTTTTCGAGTTATCAGACATGACAAAACCCTTAGCAAAACTGTTACTTAAGATGCTCTAACAATGGATTTTTCTCCATTATACACTATTTTTTTGGGTAAGATGCAACCAGTAAGAAATCCTTTTTATCGCTCTTTTCTTGGGTGACTTTCTGCTTGGCATATGTACCCATTTGTGCTTCAGTGGTGGGCAGAAATGCACGTGATGGGTTTGTTCTGTGATCCGTGTCCAGGATGCCCATGATGGGGAGGTGAACGCAGTGAGGTTCAGTCCAGGGTCCCGGCTGATGGCAACAGGAGGGATGGACCGCAAAGTAAAGCTGTGGGAGGTCATTTCAGGTACAGCCCATTTACTAGGTGTTTCTACTTCAAGACAAGATGAGTCTGCCTCCTCCTGTGACATTTAAACATTACTTTTGATACATTTTCCTTTGTTGGTTTTGCTACATCTGATTCTGTGAAAATAGTGGGTCATTGTGGAATTCATTCCTCCTGGGAGGAACCAAGGTGGTCAAACTTGAATGACATCAACCCAGACAGCTTTTCAATTGAGTTGAGAGCACGAGGAGGTCAGTGATGTGAAGTAAAAGGTCTGATGCTCACTGTCCATCCCAGCAGCCCTTGGGCTCCCAGGAGCCCCTGCTCTTGTCCTGTCATGCTCTAGTTGTGCATGTTGGGTCCAGGGGCTTCTGACAGCTTGGATAACCTTTCGACACGCGTCTCCCAGAGACCAAGGAGTCACGGTGATGATGGAGATCCAACACGGCCAGCTTTTAAGGAGTGTCGGGGGCTGGGATTGGCGTTGGAGCCTGATCTCAAGTTTTCAAGCTGAGACCTTCGTTTAGAAAATGTACTCAAAACAGAACCTCACTCTTTATTTTAATACGTTACTTTAAAAATCCACAGCAATGTGCAGGAAGTCTTGGCATACTTAAAGTACTCAGTGTAATTCTGGATGTGAGAATTAAAGATGGAAAAGTAATTTCTCAGTAGGACTTGACTTATTTTCTCCATCTATAAATTAGAAAAATGCAAACTTGTTGTGTGTGAGTGCATTCATGTTAAAAGTTGCTTATGAAGTCTTACTACTATTAAAGGAATTTTGTTTCTTGGGGGGGAAAAGTGAATTGTAAGGATTTATTGTAATTGCCGACTGCTTAGCCGTTTGGCAAACAGGGTTTCCATGTACAAAAGATATTAAAGGAAATCTTGTTTTGTGTGGAGCAAAGACTTAATGCCTGTCTCTTTCTAGGTCACTGTGAGCTAAAAGGAACTCTGACAGGAAGTAATGCTGGCATAACGAGCATAGAGTTTGACAGTGCGGTGAGTATACCCTGGTCAACAGTGCTCATGGGGGTTGGGTGGTTAAGTATTATAGTGGTGTTCAGCAAGCTAAACTAGGGGCTAAAGGTTTGTAGTTGGTATGGGTTGTGTATTCCTCTACATTGAGAATTACATCTTCCTGAAAGACTGTCTGGAAAACTACCTGTGAAGTCAGACTGCCCTGGGTATTGTGCTGAGTGGTAGGCCAGAAGTTGCTTTTCTTGTGGCAGTTATGTTACAAAAGTTGCTTAAAGTGCGGTGTGCAGTTTTCTTGGGGTGAAGTGGGTAGTATTGGGCATTTCTCTTCCTCAAGCCAGTTTTCAGTTCCTAATAACAGATTTTTAAAGCGTCAATCCCTGTTGTACCATATCTTCTAAACCGGTCACTTCCTAAATTCCTAGTCCACTGATACAACTGCCTGGGTTTTGAAACGCCAAACAGAGAGGATGTGCGATTAATCATGGCTAGATTTCATTATTGGTCTGTATCAGGTGGTGCTTGCGGGATGCGATTATAAGGCTCTGCATCAATGGTACAGGAGGCATGTGTATTGAATAACATTGCTGTAGTGAGACAACCCCCTTGTCTTGTCACAGTGGAGCTCGCAACAGGCCAGGGAGTGACAGTGCTAGAATCCTAGCAGGGGCTGAGCTGGGCTTCAGTTCAGGCTATCATTGATTTCTTAACCCCAGCGACGATTGCACTGACCTCTGAAGAAGGTGATTTAGAGTTTGAGATTGAAATTTGGGAACTGTAGTTCTCCAGGGCTAGGTATCAAAGGCAAAGTGTGAAAGAATTGTCCATGTTTAATTTTTGGCAATTAAGTCTCATCTTGCAGTCTGGCCAATACATAAATAATTTTCTCCCACACTGTGGTGTACCTCATCTTGTTGAAAAGATGTCTACTGTAGATTTTGAAAAGGCACTGCGCCACCATGTCACCCCACATTTGTCCTTGCCGAGTTATGACCCTGGGTTCAATTCTGGACCTCGGCTGTTATCTGGTGGAATTTGTATGTTGTCCCCACGTGCTCAGATTGCCTTTCATAGTGAAAACTGTTAGGGAAATTGGCTCCTGGAAAAACCGGCCCTGGTGTATGTGCTTGTCTGTCTGCCCTGGGATGGACTGGCACCCTAACCAGGGTGTATTTCTGCCTTGTGCCTGTTGCTTGCTGGGATAGGCTCCAGCTTCCCTATGACTTGCATTGTAAGAAGTGCTTAGAATATGGATGGATAGGGTTCGCAACTTAAATTATCTGGTTAAAGGCAAGAGAGAAATGTTAAGATTAGTCTGTTCAATTGGTTTAAAACCTATGTTGGGTTGGTCTTAAATCAGATTGTCTGCATGTGTGCGCATAATAAAACGTTTAGTTTTAGAAGCTGAACTAGCAAACTGAAGGAAGTAAAGTGCTATTCTGTAACTGAAGCAGGTTTTTTTGTTTTGGGTCACTCTGTGGTCCTATTTCTGCCTGTGCAGAAGGCTGCTATAGAGAAGAGAGCACGTTAAATAGGAAGGCTTACTGCTATAACTGCCTGCAGTGATGGGGATTTGCACTCAGCTGTGAGGTGTTCACAACCAAAGCCCTGCTACTATGACGCACGACAAGTTCTTGTTTTTTTTCCTTCACTAAAGAGAAGCTTGTTGGTGCAGCTATTCTGAACGTGACCCTTTGTTCCTCTGTAACTCAGGGTTCGTACCTGCTCGCTGCCTCCAATGACTTTGCCAGCAGGATTTGGACAGTGGATGACCAGCGCCTACGAGTAGGTATCAGTGCGCAGTGCCCGGTTCCCACTTTGCTATCTTCCTGTGGATTAGGGCTGGATTGCTCCCTCTCCTGAGAGTGGGATATATTTTAAAGACCATTAAAATATTCATTAATGAATTATTCAAACTGACTTTTGCTGGGTTGCATTTGGCACCTGTGCCCATTAATTAGCATTCTTGTAGTCTGTTCCCATGTCTCTTTTTAGTACTCTCATAAATGTGGGTCATTTATTAAATGTGTGAAGACTGCAAACAATACTGATTTTTACTGGATGATGCACTTATGACCAACAAGAGCAACAAATGTTTATAGACTTTAGAAAGGGGAATTTTAAGGTAAATTGTAAAAGAGCAACAGCAGACGTACAGCCACACAATTATGGAAATACTGCATTTAGGTATTAGTGTGACATGAATAAGCATTCATTTGGCAGGTAAATCCTTTTGAATCTGCCTGAGCGTTTTGATTCCACAGGGATCATATTCCATTTGTACTTTGCTTGAATGCTAAAAGCAGATTGTAGTGTTTCCTAAAGAAGGCTTCTTCTCTTTTTATCATATCCATCTTGAAGGCCTTGTTGTGGTATGGCACCATGAGGTCAGTGATGTGAAGTAAAAGGTCTGATGCTCGCTGCCATCCCAGCAGCCCTTTGACTCCCAGAAGCCCCTGCTCTTCTCCCATCATGCTCTAGTTGTGCGTGTTGGGTCCAGGGGCTCCTGACAGCCTGGATGACCTTTTGATCTGTGTCTCCGAGAGACCATGGGGTCACGGCAGTGAAGGACATCTGACAGAGCCAGCTTTCAAGGAGTGGCAGGTGCAGGGATTGGCACTGGCACCTGATCTCAAGTTTTCAAGCTGAGACCTTCATTTAGTGATACAATTTCTAAAAAAGTCCCGATTAAGGAGCGTTTCATATTGTGTATGCCTATCTTATGACTTCATCTGCTTTGGCTGAATTCAATAGGTTAGTCAAGTGTGAAATTGGACACTGGAGCTCTTTAACCACATGTGCTTTGTTCCTCTAGCACACTCTCACAGGACACAGTGGCAAGGTGCTGTCTGCCCGCTTCCTACTGGACAATGCGCGCATCGTTTCAGGGAGCTATGACAGGACACTTAAACTCTGGGATCTGCGCAGCAAAGTCTGTAAGAACGAAAGCACTGCACCTACAGTAGTACAGGCGCACACAGGAGATCCCTTGGAATGGGTTTCCTGTAGCAGCTGATGCAGTACAATAAGCCACTAGCCAGTGTGGTATCTGGTTGTCCTTGGTGTTGGAGCAGGATGTTCTGAGCTCCTTTTGGAGCGTCAGTATCAATGATAATTATTCTGATTCATTTACCTTGCATTCTGTAACTACTATGTGCTGACTGCAGTTTAAGCTTGTCTTCAGATTGGATTTCAGAAAGAGTTTAGTTATCTGGACTGTGCTCTGTTAATTTAGTTTTTTCAGTCCAGACATCAAGTTCTATTTGTTGTACAATCCTGAAATCTTAAAACAAATCTGACCTATGGTATTGATGTTTCATAAGGCACCTAAATTTTCAAAGAGGTGCCTTATTATACATTGATACAGTATTTGCCTTAACTTTTCAAACTCTCGTGATTTTGCTCAAGTGAGTTTTATTTATAGTGGCTTTGCTAAACAAACTGTATATACTCACATGTGGAGCTGCAGGTAAACTGTCACATTTGAACTAGACCATCTACTGCTCCAAGTGATGTAACTTGCTAATTTTGATACTCTACTGCTGTTTAGTAATCATAGGTGCAAACAAGTTATTAAAATCAGGGTAATGCTTCTGCATTTTTATTGCACATCATTGTTCTGCAAAACCTTACGCCATAAAAATACTTAAAGGGTAACTGCAGTGCCAATTTCCTCTAACCAGTTAAGTCCCGTAACAGTCTTTGACAAAAAATTACAAATTTTAAATTCACAAAAAAATGAACACTATAAATTTCCGTATTGTAAACTCACATTCAAGTTCCCATGAATTGCTACATAATGTGGCCCTTCCTGCTCACTAGTCACTGTAATGACTATTGTAATGCGATGTCAGTTCTAATGTGATCTGCATGCAGAGTTAACAGGAAGTATTTGTTGGCAAAACAATCTAGAAATGAAAGCAATATTTTTATTGGATTAAAAGGTGTGTGACTGTTTACAATGTACTAGTGCATTTTACGTTTGTAGTATGAAATTCACTCATTAGTGATCATTCTTTCTAACCCCAAAATATAAATAGTATTGCAGTTCCGCTTTTAACTATGGCATGCACTTTTGTATGCACCTCCATTACCCTTTCTTTAATGCCACTTGTGTTTATGACCGTGGACTACAGGGGTTGTTTTTCTAAATGTGTTGTCTATTGACCCGCAGGTATAAAAACAGTCTTCGCAGGGTCCAGCTGCAACGATATCGTCTGCACTGAGCAGTGCGTCATGAGTGGCCACTTTGACAAGAAAGTGCGCTATTGGGACATCAGGTGAGTCCTTGCCAGTTCCATCAATCAGTTGTGTGAGGTTATTACCACCTCATTGCCTGGCCTTGACCAGGCCCAGCTGTGCTTAGCTTTCTGTGCTGGGATGGGAGATCTGTTACTAAAACAGGTTGCAGCTGTAATTAGTGTTGGCAGACAAGTAGGGGGTGCTCTTTCTTTAGAGCACATTTGTGAACCGGTACTGCCTTATAGTGACCCTATACAGTGTGGGGTAAGAGGTGCCCTTGTAGGACAAGATGTTAAACTGAGGTCATGACTGCTGGGTCATCAAAGTTTCATTTCACTTGACAAAGCAATTTCCCTGCCTGATCTGGTGTTTTATAGAGCTGGGGGGCTGATGTGGGTTTCCTTCTGTATCTAGTTTCTCTTGGGATTTAGAGGACCAGGTTTGTGCAAGAAATTATTAAATCTTTACCCATCTGTATATTGTGAAGATGGATCTGAAATGGTTTAGGATTAGGTGGTAATGCCATTGCAGTGTTTCTAAAATTCACTTTCCCTCGGTGTTCATTGAACGTTACAGGACAACGTTGCAGATCTACCTAGTGCTCACCAATAAATTGAACTGAACATGAGGCTGTTCTAGTTTCAAAGGTGAGAAATGCAAAAAATGTGCAGTGCGTTTGAGCATTGATAAGGTAGCACATCAGACAAGACAATTTAATTGAGAAAAAGTGTCATCAGATCTTTCAGAAAAATCTGTCCTTTGTTTTTCTTTATAGGCTCTGCAGTCTTTGTACTTGTACTGTGTTCAAATTAAGAACCTTAACAGGATCAACTAAACCCCCAATTCTGCAGAAACGTGTTATGTGAACTGCATGTTGTTTTTGCTGGCGCTCCCAGGGCGGAGAGCATTGTGCGCGAGCTGGAGCTGCACGGCAGAGTCACTTCCCTGGATTTGAACGCTGAGAGGACGGAGCTGCTCGCCTGCTCCCGCGATGACCTCATCAAGATTATTGACCTGCGGACCAATGCGGTGCGCCAGACCTTCAGGTGAGGCAGCTAGCTGAGTAGATGCTGTCGGAGACTGCGCTTGAGCTATAGAAACCCATCCTCAGCTCCTCATATCTATAATAGTTCCCTGAGCCCTAGCACCTCTCGCCTCAGTGGCTCCTGAAGTGCTTTACATACTTCATCCATCACTGTAGTGCAGGGGCATTATGTACCAGTACCCTCACTAAATTAGCATATGGAGTGAAGTTAGAAATTCTCATCGGTTGAATTAACATTATGCAAGCCCACCTACCACAACACAGTATTCTAATATTGCCATACTGGGACATTGGGGAACTTTTACTCAAGTATGTAAGCTAATTGTTCCACCAAAAGCTATTTAAATGACCGTCTTGTTTATTACCTTTTTTGTAAATCCAAAAAAGGAAAATTTAATTGAAAATTTTAAAATATTTTTAAAATCAGAAAATCACTGGTATTTATTTGGATATGAGTTGAATAAGACTTCACAAACAGCTTTATCAAGCTGGTGGCAAATTCTAGCTGTGCTTTCGGGTGATGGGATGTTGGGGCAGTTAAACAGGCAGCCAAAAGACGATGGCAAAGGTGAATATCCCAAAATGTCTTTTCCTTCCCAGTGTTCAAGGATTCAAGTGTGGCTCTGACTGGACAAGAGTAACTTTTAGGTAAGAAAATGTTTTAGTTTCCTATAGCCTTAAGCAAGCTTCTGTTACTTACTGTGGACTATCTGTGTTCCTGGTCCTGTTGCTGAAATCGGAAACGAGTCTGTTTCCTGAATAACAGAGCCATGGCGCAGGTGTGTAGAGACCTCAGTGTTAATGCCGTGCTGTCTTCTCCAGCCCCGATGGGAGCTATATCGCAGCAGGCTCTGCTGACGGCACCTTGTATGTGTGGAATGTGTTGACGGGCAAATTGGACCGGACACTAGGCAAGCACCACAGGTGAGTCCGTCTCTGACCAAGCTGTTAATTGGTTTGTAGCAGTTTTCCAAATGGGAAAAACAGTAGAATTTGATTATCTTTGATAAACAGTGGGTGAAACTAGCCCTTGGTATGTATTTAATTCCTCCCTGAGGAAAATGGGGGGGGGGAGTTTGGCATTTTGTTTTTTTTACTTGTATGATAAACGCATTCCTTTAGAAAGGGAAGCACATGGAACTAGGGATCGGACTCATTTTGTTTGCATGTCTTGGACCACTGCTTGGGAGGCTTTTTAGCAGTCAGGGTTTTTGTTGGGCGAGTCTGAAACAAGATACCCCACCCTGTTGAAGCAGAAAGCCTCACTTGTTTCAAGAAACTCCTGTTTTTTTTAGATCCTGTGATCTAGTAAAAGTTTGCTTTTACTAGGCAAGAGGCGTGACTGATGGACTAACTAGAACTAAACTATTCAGTATGATAGGCTGATATCCTAATCTGTTTACCCTTCAAAAATCTTTGTCACAGGTCTGTGATCAGCCTCCATAGCTTTACAATTAAGTTGGAAGAAAAAAATGAAATGCTGACCAACTAGGATTTGTTAGTTGAGTTGATAACTGTGGATGAGTTCAATATTTCAATTTATGCACTGTATCTGTTCCATCCTTGTTTTGTTGTGCTGATTATAATAGCTTGCGTTTGTGTTGTAGCTCCACTATCAATGCCGTGGCCTGGTCGCCCTCTGGAACGTATGTGGTCAGTGTGGAAAAGGGAAGCAAGGCTGTGTTGTGGTCGGACCTGTGACTGGCTGATGGACTGACCAGCCAGCTCCTCTGGAGTGCAGCTTTGTCAGAGACTGGGCTGGGCAGGGCATGGGACTGCAGGAGATAGGACTGCCTCGGACAGCAGATCTCACCAGACCTTCTTGAAGATTCCCCTGATCATTATCCTGGAGAACCCGAGATCCAGTTCAGAATTGCCGTGTCAAACTTGGCCTGCAGTATGGAGATGTGATGGAGTGTTTTCTTTTCGTACAGCAAGAATCAGTTACCATTCCTTGGAGTTTGAAATTGTTTAAATCTTTTAAACTCTCCTTCAACAGTTAGTTTTTGGACCTATGGGAGACTGGTTGGCCATTAGCTGTACCTTAGATCGAAAAGCCAATAGCAGATATTCTTTTCAATGTAAGAAAGATAATTGCATATTTTGTCAATTTGCATGCTTGAACAGCAAGAACAAAGTCATCTCAAAAGCATCTTTCAACAATTTTGTTAAACAATCCAGGGTCTACAGAAAAGTGGTCTAAATGGGGAAAAAGGTAGCAGAATGTAAATGTGCCTCGATGACTATAGCCAACACAAGATGTAGTTGCTGATGTCTGACATCTTTAACTAGGTGTTTTGTGACCACACAGAAGTTCCCTCAAGTTAACCTGTTCTCTGAATCCCTCTCAAAACAAAGTATACCAGGCCCTTTTCAAAGGGTTGTAGGGTAAAATTATCTGCGCACAATACGGGTGTTCAGGAGGTACTGACGCAAAGGAGAGGAAGCGGCTTAAAGACCTGTAACTTCTCACATCTGATTGCTCAGAGCAGTTTTTCAGAGCCAGTTCTCTTGTCAGAAGTGACATGCAAGTTGTATTAGTGAGCTTGCTTTTTATTTAACCAAGCTTTATCCTTTTATGAAGCCACCGTATCTAAAGAGGGAGGTGTGCAGGTTAAAGAAAATGAGCACTTAATAGTAAGCCTGTTATCTCCAATGTTTATTTCTTAATGTGGACAACCACTCAAGGTGCAATTTCTTAATTTAGTTGCTTCAGTTTGGATTTTTTTTTGTTAAAGCAGGAAAGGAATGAGTGGCCTTTCTCTGTTAAGTAGATTCCCTTGCACCTGTTCAGAGGGGGCTCTCTTGTAGTTCTTGACTTTGATCACAAGGTGGCAGTGTATGCCAGTCCAGAGAAGCTGGTTATTCATAGGGAGAGTTGTTTAGTTTGAACTTTGTATGAAGATGCAACAAGGGTGAGTCTGTAACAGAGCTGGTTCAGATCATTATGTAAAGATGTATGTAGACAGCTGGTTTTATGTAATTGACTATTAATGACTCCCCCACCAAACAAAAATAATACAAGAGTCACTGGTTGTGCTTTTCTTTAACTGCTGTGTGTTCAGTTTATATGGAAAACGGCAAATGAGGGTTTGATTTGGTGTTGTCCTCCGGTCAGTACTGATTGGAGTTGTCTAAAAAGGTAACCCACAGCATTCCATTGTGAAATATTGCATTTTGTTCAGTTCTGGCTCAGTGTTTGAAGACGAATATCCCCTGGGCATTGAAGTCTTTGTACCACATGATGCCCCAAATCAGTAAAGCAAGCAGTCATGTTTCTGTCCTTGAACTGCACCAAGCAGTTTTATTGGTTTAAAAAATGTGCTATCAATGAGTGTTTTGATCTCTGGTAGTTTATGGATTTTATAGTAAAGAATCATGTTCAGACATTACCTGGATTAAGACATGGTCTAGGCATCTTTACATTTCAAAAATGTATGTCCTATCTCTAAACACCAGTACTTGTATAGGTCTGAATTTGACTGCTAGGTAAAAAATTGAGAATCATGAAATTCTTCGCTTAACATACAGACTTCTTGCCTCTTGTCCTGTTTTTCTGATGGTTTTGCAACTTAATCTTTGCATTGCATCTTGATACTCAGCGTTCTGCAGGTGTCAAAGTATTCCACAGTGCAGAAGTCTTTTTCTGTGGTATACGATATTGAAGAAATGTACCCGATGCCTTCTGTTAGCTGCTAAACCACTTCTGAAGTACTGCATCTGTCGTACATCGAGAAACTACTTCACATCCACAGCGCTGTCTTATGAAGAAAAACGGCTAGATTGGAATCATGCCTACCTTTTGTAGGCAGCCATAAAGAAACCTGTTAGAGGAGATTAAATGATAAGGTCTGTGTGGCACTAATTTGTTTTTACCAAATGTTTTTAACCACTGCGTTAAGACATGTTCCAATGCTGTAACATGCAATTTGGATTTTTTTAAAACAGTTGCTATTTTTTTTTAAATCCATGGCCACCCAGTCTGTGTATACTAGATCTCTTCTAAGGAGGGTTGTGAGCCGTGTGTGCGGTGATTGAGCTTCAGCTGTTCAGATACTCCCAGCTGTTCAGCTGTCCTTGAACTATCTGAAATGCATCGCTGGGGCCCAGGGGTGTTGTTCAGCTAGTCACAGCAGCTTTAGAAGGTGTTAGTGTAGAACTCCAGTTTAGTTTGTGGTGTTGAATATAATGCATTGTAGCTTTCCAGTTCAAGGAATTATAGAAGCCTTAACTTCTGTCTGTCTGGCTTTTTGAATGGACAGTGGATTCAGGTTCAATCACAAAGGTAGTAGATGACAGGAAGTGATACCCCTCTTGTTTGATTTGCTTGATAAACCCTTGTCTCGTCTACCCAGTTTTTTTTTTAAACAGTCCAGAGTGCTAGCTGGAATAGCTTTATTCAGGGTAACTGCAACTCTGAAAAGAAGCACATCCCGTTTTTCATCTTTTTTGCATTTTCATTCCAGTTACTGTAAAGGTCATCCCTCAAGGTCCGTTGGTGACCCCCTGGTACGTCTCAGCTACTTAAACTCCAATTTCTACTACTTGGTAAACTCATGTCGCGTGCATGCTTGTCTGAAAACAGTGTATAAACCCGATGTAGATGTTAAAGTGATCAATTACAATGGGTGGGACTCCTGTCAGGACCCTCTCCTTGACAAACTTTTCTTGCTTTTCTGGAACTCATGTTATGGTGGGGAAAGTGTTGACTGCCCTTGGCCTTCTCAATCACTAGCACGTGTTTAATTTGTCCTTTCAGAAGTATGGCCACAGTAGGTTTGTGAAAGGTGTTTCCTTTTTAAACATGCACCTTTGTCCACATCCCCTGTAGTCAATGAACAGTCTGACACTTAGCCAGAGTTCATCTAGTAGCCAGTTACCCCACCTACTGCACAGCCCTTTTTCCCCAACTGAATTTGGGAGAGGCATCTTTCATCACTGCAGTTCCCGGGCGAAGTCCTAAATCCTAAATACAGCACTCTGGTTCATAAGCGTCAATCCTGCATGTGTTTTATATCTTTGAATCAACATGGGTTTAAATTTGGACAAATCAGTTTGGTAACTTCTTACGTAAATAAGAGTGAAAGGCACTGCTTGTGACCCTTTAGAAAGTGACTGGACCCCCATTTCCAAAATGGGTGTGTATAGCAGCCACCTCGAAGTAAAGTGCAATATGTAATGATTGGTCGTCCGCGGGAAGATTTCTTTTCTTGATGTAGGTCTTTGTAATGGGTAAAAGTCCATGTGAAAAGCTGAAGCCTGCTGCCCATTGGGCTGTCAGATGGGGTCTCCCTCTCTGAGCTGCCTCCGAGTCAGAGTGTCCCTGTCTAAGGCCAATAACACTCGTGGTTTGGTTGCACTTTATTTGAAAATGTATTTGCATTAAAGAAATGTGTATTCCCTGGTTTGCTTCACTGTAAATAAATATTGCATATACTCTTTAAGTTAAACTAAACCTGCCTGGTGTTTTTTTTTTCCCCACCATTTTACTTAATCATGGTTTAGCCTAGCAATGCCAGCATGCCCCTTATGCCTGTGCAGAAAATTCCCTTTGTACAGGGAACTTTCCCCATAAAAGGGGCTGTTCTTAGTGCCTGGTTCAGCCTGAAAGCAATATGCATCTGAAAACAAAGAATCTGGAGATTTAAGCCCTCCATTCTAAAATGATTTAATCTCTTAATGTCACCCCTGCAGCTGAGCACAGCAGAGCAGAACTGCTGACTCGTGGCACAGAGGATTAAAGCCGGGATACATGCTTCTGGAACCTTTTTTTTTTTCTCGTCTCATCAGCCCAGACCCTTATACATTTAGGCCTGTGAATACGGTTATTTTGTGACCACCATTTTTTTCTTGTTGAGTTTAGAACCTAAAGTCTATTGATCAGAGGATCTGTTCAACTCTTACTTGAAGAGAGCCAGGGTATTGGTTTCATCAACATGACTGGTAACACTCCCACCCCCCTTTGTGAAGTACCGCCTCACAGATTAATGGCAAAAATGCCTGTCCTCCAGGGTGAAGACTGAGCTACCCCCAGTCCCCATCTGTTTTTGGGAGTTGAGGGGCACACCCATTGTACATGGAGCTAATGCCAAAATTAAGTCTTGGCAGGTTCTATGGTGCACGATGCCCTGTGACGTAAAATATTTGCATTTTATTTTGTGCCCATTGTAGACTCCCTCCCCCCCCCGCCTCATTTTTTGTATCTTTACTACAAATTTACATTTTTGCGATTTATTTTTTCCTTAATATATTGGAATTCTTATCTTCAAAAGGTGATTTAATCTTTAAGAGGTACTTTGTTTAAATTCATCCTTTTTGGGTTAACCGTATGGAGATGGTTTAAATCACATTTCAATGTTATGGCTGGCGTGATGCTAACTGGTAAAAGCGTTTTCAGTAGTGCTGTTTCTGTGGGGGAAAAAACGAATAGAGAACCACTCGCCAAAGAGGATGATCGGTTCAGTGATGCTAAATACTTTTAAGTAGGTGGTATCCTGCTCGGAGAGCTCTTGGTCTGTGACAGCCCACGTGGACTGATTGAGTTACACTCATCCCTTGTTAAAAGAGCTCTTTACTACACATACTTGTCAAAACAAGCAGTGCATATTTGTTACATGAGTGAACTTCCCTTACTAATACAAACTCCAAGCGTGTGGCTCATTTATCCGTTTTTATCATTCTCGCCTCGGCTGTTACTTCACCTATCCAAGTAGAGATTAAGTGTTATTCTATTTTAATTGTGTAATTTATACAAATATTAAGTCTTAACATTTTATACAACTACAGTAAGTTTATCATGGGCACTGTATTGATATTGCCATGCGGTTTGCCCTTTCAGTTATGGGTTTTAGTCTTTGCACGAGATTTAACTGTTTTGTAAATTTTACAAAAACCTTTTGTAAAAACTATTTGGCTGAGCTCATTTGTTTGTGTAAATTATTTTTCTGCAATAACTGCTCCATAATATGTTTAAACAGAGCTTGTATAATAGTGGTGCAGTGCCAAGCTATTTAAATACATCAAGAATGTACCTTAACTCAACTGGTTTATGTCCAGTTACAAGCATTTGAAATGAATCAAAGCTTTTAATTGGATTTTAGTGTCGCTTTACAAGTTTTCACCTACAAGTAGAGATTTTGTAATCAAATGTACTCATGTGATGAGGGGTTAGTATCATTAATTCATTGGTAGTTCTGCAACTCACTTGAAATTTTCAGTGGACTGTGGAAGTAGGGTATACAGACAGTAAGCACAATCACTGTGTAGCACGAACAATAAGTGCATCTTTGGCATATTCAGCTTTTGAAGCAAAATACTTTTTAGAATGCTACAGCTTGTGAACACAACTTTATCTCCTACGTTAACTACTTGAAGTTAATGCTGTCTAAACCCAGTCTGAATATCAAAAACAGGTTATAATAATGTTCAAATCCTTGAAAATGGATGGTCTGTATGCAGCAAATGGGATTGACTGTTACGATTTCAGGCGAAGCATCTTAATACAGATAATTCCATTCTCTTTGTTGTGACATTGCGAGCTTGCAAGTTCTGCTGGGGGCTTTGTCTCATACTTGTTAGATCCTCAGATATGATGTAATGTGGAATTGCAGGAGCTTGTGTTTAGTCCTGCAGTGCCTTCATCACCTGCTATGTGCATGTGCTGTCTGCTTAGGCTGAGCCCTGTATTCCACAGATCAGCAATGTCTTGAAAATATGTTTGAAGGACAAAGATCCATTGAGATCACAAGAGTGAAGAACCTCAATAAGGTCCCAAGTAATGTTGACCTAGATATGTGTCAGGTTTATGGGATCATAGACTTGTAACTCAATCTTGAAAAATAGTTTGTGTAGTACTTGTCGGTATTGTGTGCAATTTTGTTGTCTGACATTAGTCAGCAAGCCTGGATTGTTGATCTAAACCTGACAGGTATATTTATGGCACATGAGTATCTTAATAAAGCACTTTGAGAAGCCACCTTTAAAGGTGCTCCATAAAATAAAGTTTATTATTAATACGGTTGAGGAAACACCCTGTGCACATGTATTGCAGACGTTGTATTCTTCCAAATAAGAATAAGTGTCCTGGAAATGTAGTGGGTTTTTTTTCAAAGCACGGTAAGTATGATTCATATTTGCCCGTGCAGGTTCAGTAGCTTAATGTGGGCAGAGATTACAGAGCTATTATAGTAGACCCGTGAATGTGATGGCAAGGTGTCTAGCCCCGCTAATCTGATGCACTGCTGACAACAAGGAATGATCCCAATCTGATGAGACTCTTGGAATTATCCTATGGAAAGGCTGCAGAGAGGGGCGGCTCCCCTTGCCTGATGGAGAGTCATGACGTATGAAATCCATATGTCTGGGCTACAAATTGTGGGGACGACTCCGGGCTCAGGTGACAGACTCGCGACTTGTTCAAGGCTTCTGACAGAACGCAGAATCTTCAAAAGGCTTTGCACTTGGTTGGCTCTTCATTGGTGTGTATCTTTCCTTCTGCTGGTGGGGCATCTTGGTGGGGGGGGAAGGCTTCAAAACAGCAGATGTGTGAGGGCAGGAAAGCACCAGAGGGCAGATACTAAGAACTGTTTATCAATTATGGGTGGAGTAAAATGGGATATTGTATTAGCCCTAATAAGAGACTGGAGATTCAATATTCATGAGAAAAGGGAACTGATTATTATAATTCAGTGTTTAGTGATCAACAATTCTTACTTTAGTAAACTGGACATTATTAGAAAACTCACGTGTCCACCCATTGCTGCAGCAGTAGCTATGAAGGTTAGAAGGGAAACTTTGAGTATTCATTAAGGGCCATTATTAAAGGTGAGGTGTGTCACAGTCGACACTGAAGAGTGCCAGGACTGGCAAGACTCTGCTATAGACGGGAGAGAAAAGGAGAACTACAGCAAAAGCACCTCAGCTCTTTCTCTTGACCTTTCAGCCGGGATTGTCTGTGCCTCTGGCAAGAACTCCAGCTCAATTTCCGCACAAATCGCCGATCCTCTAAAAAGCCAGCAGCATGAGCTCTTCCAGGCACATCATCTTTAAGAAGCTGTCTCGGGACAAGTCGGTAAGTGGGTTAAGCACTGTGAAGTTGGGCAGCACTAGCTATGTAGAATATTGTGTATACTTTCACTAAGATTCTCTACTGGTGCACTTATGCATGAGAAGAGAACATTCCGTGCACATTTAATTCCATGAAGATGCACAAATTTCATTATGCCTCTTTCCCAGGTGAGGGGCTTCAAGTGGAGTTTGCACGTTGGTGGAAGGGGGGTGTTTTCAGATCGAGTGTTTGCTGTGGGACTATAGAGAAATAAATTCCAACAGATTTGATGGTGTGAAGGGGCCTCCTTCCACCTAGAGACCTTTCCCTGATGTTCTGTTGATATTACATTAATACAATTTTAGGTAAATTAATTAAGATGTACTTTTAATTTAAATCTGAGTGTTAAGGTGGTATTTAAATGTGGCCAGGGAGTGATATTCCTTGATTTTCCTTGTGGATCTAATTCCAAAGCCCAAGAAATCGTGCACCAGCAGTCTTGTCACCCACAGTGTGGGCTATGTGGCATACATGGCTCCACCATGACTCAACTGAAGGCTAATCTAAGGAAATCGATTTAAGGAGGAGTCAAGCCACTTGAGATTTTGAGAGTCAAATGCGATGTATTAATATTATTATCAAACGCGGGCAGACCGACAGTGCAAAGCCTAATATACATGCTAGATCAGGAGCCAGGAACCCTGGCTGTTTTCAGGATATGTCAATAGTATTCCTTGAAAGGACAGTTCTTGACCCACACACTGTGTAGGATGTTTATTTCTTAATCTGTTCTGTTAAACTCAATAATCTCCTTCAGAGACAGATCCAAAACCGCAACATTTAAACATAGTTTAAGCTGTTGTTAAAATGAGAATGCTTCAGGCCTCAAACACACTTTTGAAAAAGAAACATCTTGACTGGACAACACATGGATCTACAACACTTCTGGGTATACTTTTGATTGGATTTCAAGGCATTTCATATATACAGAGGTGTTAGAAGGTGTTGGTTTCCACCTCTCAGCTAGTTTGCTCCTTGCTGCTTGTGAGCCCTTTTTATTCATTTTTCATATGTTAAACCAGCCATTGCAGTTTGCCACTGGCCTTCTTTTACTTTATAAAAAATTATCTTCCTTGAAGGAAACCGCATTAACAAAAGATAGCATAACCCCTCTCTCTCTCAGAGCTTTCCTATCCTGTTCCTCAGTCCCCCTATGTTTCCATCTAGAGGTGCAGCAGCTATTTCAAACCCTCCTGTCTTCCATTCTGCACTCTGCTGTCCCCTTCATGGACAGAAGCCAGCAGCCAGGCTGTATATATTTGGAGAACAATGCCAGACTTAAATCACCTGCCCCAAGGGATGTTCTGTCTGGCACACTGCTTACACTCAAGAGGAAATGGCTTCTTTTTACATGCTCTAAATTTGGACTTTTCTTTGAATCCATGCACATGACGATTAGCCCCTTTCTTTGTGTTTAGCTAGGTTTACCTACAACCCAGAATATTTTCCAATGAAAACACAAAACCTAAATAGATTCCCACATTCCCACACAGTTTTTGTTTTATCCTAATAGTTCAGTGTCAGCGCTGTCACGTGTTTTCTTCTTCAGAATGATAGATGCTCACTAGTTCTGTAAGTTAATCACCTTTGTGCACAGTCCCAGGACAGCTGCCTTCTGCCACTCCCTCTTTGCTAGAAGTCCTGCTTGACCCTCTTTTCTCCTTTGACCCTCCAGGTTGGCGTCTACATGGGCAAGAGGGACTTTGTGGACCATGTTGACTTTGTGGATCCTGTGGGTGAGCTCTTTCAAAGGGGAGACAGAGAGGCAGTTTTGCAGGACCCGCAACTTATGCATTTCAGAGAGTATTAGGGTGGTGGCTAAATTCACATAATAAGATACTGGTAGTGGTTCTAGTTGCCAGGTCTTCAACTCACTCCCAAATACAATCCTCTTTGGCTGGAAAGCATGTAGACCACTTCTCTTCAATGTGTCTGTGCCAGTAAATTAGAACATTAAATTGCCCCTGTAGCTATGCCTTGGTGAACTCCATCTGGCGGTCATCAGCACTGGCCATCATAAAAGGTTTCCTAATGGATAGAAATTAATGGGACCCTGGCTTGCTCTACTGCTAAGATGCTTTTCAGTGCTGGCTGTGAGCCCCTGGTCCATCTGCTGCATGTGGTGTCTCATCACTTCTATCCATCACAAAAGCTGGCTGGATCCTCACTCAAGTTTTCTTGGATTTGACAGCTTGATGCCTTTCATATTGTTGATCTTTTCATTAAGAGATTTCAAGGCAAGGCGGCATGGTGGTGCAGGGGGTAGTATTGCTCCCTCGCTGCACTGGGGCCCTGGGTTCAATCCCCCAAGAACCTGAACTGGAACAAGCAGTAAGAAAAAGATTGGATTTCAAGGCACCCCATTTTCAGTGAAGTTTTACGTGCCCAGGTGCTCATTACTGTCTAAGCAGTTAGACATTACCAGAACCAAGAAACACCAGTCTCTTCTGTATTGAAGTTTTGTTTGAAGTGTCTGGGGGCTCCATCGTCCCACACACCAGCCTTTTTTTTGTGGTTTTCAGTAGGTTCTCAACGTTTTTTTAAAACCTATAAAGAATGCCAAATTGCTGTGATGCACAGAATTTAAGTAGAAAATATTTTTTTCTTATTGATACATACATCTTTGTATCTTGTTGTCTCTAAATCAAATAATGGCCCAATATCAAACATTGTACATTTTAAAATATGATGCTGTTCTCTTCCTTCCGTGAATTAGATGGTGTTGTCCTGGTGGACCCTGAGTTGTTAAAAGGAAAAAAAGGTAAGAATGTGAAGCCCTAAACACTCCTGATTTGATGGAGATAAGATGGTCTTAATTGATGTTACATTAGCAGAATGTCTAAGGTGCATGTCTTGAAGCAAAAACAAAAAGTTTAATTCATTCATTATTAATATTATTCATTACTAATTTCTTGTGGTAAATAAAATCATTCTATACTCCAAAAATGTCTTTTGTGGAAAAACGAAGCACAAGTGAAAAGGGGGCTGGCTGTTCTCTCGAGAGCAGGAGCCCCTCTTTCCTCTTGTACATGTTCAATGGCTGAGCAGCTAGACTAAAGCCTCCTGTGTTACAGTGTGTTCACCACAGCGACTGTCCCAATCTTCCCTTAGTGTACATTATGCTGTCCTGCACCTTCCGGTACGGGAGGGATGACATGGACGTCATGGGCATCGCCTTCCGCCGGGATATCTACCTGTCCACCCGGCAGGTGTACCCTCCTCTCCAGGACAGGAAGACACACTCCAAGACACAAGAGCGCTTGCTGCGCAAGCTCGGTGACAACTCCTACCCCTTCTTCTTCGAGGTGAGGGGCCAGTCGGCGCACGGGAGCACATGTTCAGGCACTTCACAATTGCCATGAATTTTTTAAAAGACATTGAAATGGCCATCAAAATTTCCTTCGTATTCCTGAGCCCATATGGAATTGCTAATGGTGGTGACTCGGCTTTTAATGCTGCAACTCAAGTACCGCACAGGGGGAGGAGATAAACATCAGTGGACAAACTCCTCCCAGACCTTTTCCTATTGGCCTTTCAACACATTGTGCATCCCAGAATCCTCTAGAGTTAGTGCTGACATCACCACTGGTTTACAGGATTCACTGTTGCCCTGGAAACCATAAAAAACTCTGAGTGACTGAAGCCCCGCCCAATCCTAGTCCCAGAACACTCAAATGTGCACTGTTACCAGGGTAACCCAGTAACAACTAGCCTGTTGCAGTTGCTTAGTGGTGTTTGTACTTGTAATAACAGGTGTGACCAAAATGGAGCAGGATGACTCTCCAGCAGTTAATGTCTAAGGCCCAGGACTGGCTATTCCACACCTCAAATGTCAGTGTGTCTGCAGGTTTTCATTCCAACTGAACACTTAACAAGCCTTGTCAGCTGACTGATAGCTTAATTCAACAGCTGCTCCCTGCTCTTCAAGTGCTGAGACCTAGAAAACCTGCAGACCAACAGTGAATGGCCAGTCATTCAATTAATGGATGTGGAAAACATTTCAATTTCTATTTCTCTATTGTCTGCTGTTTTGTTTTACATATTTGTTGGCTCCTTGCTTTGAAGTTCCAGGGCTTTCTTTGTTTTTTCTTCATGTTGCAATTGCACAATAGGGCTAATGGATTTACCCCTAGTGTCTTCAAAATCCCTACCACTTTCCTGGTTTGCTGGTTTCATTCAGTTTCTTATTTACTGACTTGCAGTAATTGACGTTAACATATAAAAAAACTTCAAATAATTTTTTTTTGCGTTTTGTAGTATAGCACAGGTTTGTTCAATATTTGAGTCTTAGTGAAACCCACTGTATGCTTAATATGAATCAAGCATCTGCAAAGAGGAATAATCTCCAATAAGTGGCGGGGATATAACCATAGAGAGCCACAGTAATGAGGTTGTTTCTGTTTCAGTTCCCGGACAATCTGCCTTGTTCCGTTGGTCTGCAGCCGGCTCCTACAGATACGGGAAAGGTAAGACAGGAATATTCCGGAAGATGAGGGCTCAGTGTGGCTTATGGGATATCCACACCACAAAGTGGCTTTGTGCTTCTCTTGTTGCTCCCACACCACCAGTAAGTTCCAAGCTTTTTGTTCTTCACACAAGAAAAAATGTTCATAGGCTACCTGCACACCTTTCTAATGAACCAGCTGACCAGTTACAAGACTGCAGTGTTTCCAAGTTTCTTGTGAGGCCTGACAGTGAGGTTCGGCTGTCCTGCTGGATGGGTGTTGAAGGGCAATGCCAGCGGTGAACTTTCAAGAACTCTAGAGCCTGTGGCATAATAAAAAAAAAAGAAAAGGGGAAGTATCATTTATGTTGAGTCATTTGTTTTGCAAAATTGGGCTGGGCAATAATGGTTTTTATTTCCACTGATTTGGAAGTGTAAATCACTCAGCTTCTCAGCTGGGGCTTCTCTACAGCCCAGGAAAGAATGGGCCGTGTGGACAACATCCTGCAGTACATCCACCTGCAGAGCTGACCGATTCATGCGTTTCCAGCTCCTCCGTGCCTTCTGACTTGCACCTCTCAAACAGACTGAGACTGGGTGTTCACATGAAGCTATATTCTCCTCAGAAATCCCAAAGCCTAGGGCACGTGTAATCTTATCAATAGCCTTTATTCTACCTCAACGCCAGGGTGTTGTTTAGGTGCCTAAAGCTTTATTTAACTGATCACTAACTGAAATGGATGAATTCAAATTGAATTGTATGAAAGAAAGAGACACTGATTATCAACCCATTTAGCTATGTTTATGACATCTAGCTCATAAAACAATGTAGTTTGAGTGTGCTTTTCAAAACAACTTTAGCTCCAAAAGGAATGGAAGAGAAAAGAGAGGCCAGAAAGAGAAGATCAGTCATTCTTCTCTCTCCTTGCTCATTCCACCCTTTTCATTCCTTATTCATTTTCCTCCTGCCTGTCCTTCTCTCCTGCTCCTAGCTATGCCATCTGTAACATCTGTTCTCTTCTCTGTCCACAGTTCTGCGCTGTGGATTTCGAGATAAAGGCCTTCTGTGCAGATAACCAGGATGACAAGGTTCACAAGCGGTAAGAGCAGATGTAACTAGTCTTGTCAGGTTTCTAACCACCCTTGCTCTGCACAAAGTGTCTGAAGTGATTGATGTCCATGGGAAGCTTCTAGCACTGCTACCCCACAATTGTTCTGGGTTCGATTCCAGGCTGGGGTGCGATGGAGTGGTGTCCTGTCCAGGGTATATACCCTTTGCTTCTGGGATAGACCCTTGCCTGGGTCTGACAAGTTTCTGATGCTGTTATACAATTTTTGTTCACAAATAAGAGAGTTAAAGGAGGATGTCATTTGAACCATCTGGGTCATGTAGTAGTTAAATATGCGTAGGTGAATCTATCGTATAATCAAGCTACTTCTTGAAGGAGCCCAGAATTTTGATTGGCTACCCAACTCCTTGGCTGGGAAGCTTGTTCCAGGTAATCCTAGTAAAGAAGCAATTCCTATTCTCCATGCTAATTAAATTTCCTTTCAGCTTCCAAATGTGACCCAGTATCTTTCCGGTCACATATCTGAAATAATGCACCTGAGTTGACTCTATATGCCTTAGAATTGCTTGAATCTCTTGTCCTTTGTTCAAGATTGAGAAGCATTAAGTTCTTTAATTTATGACAATTTCCTTAGACTATGAATCATTTTTGCTCTTCTTTTAACCTTTTTTAAGACTGTAATCTGTTTTATGATATGGTGACCAAAACTGAATTTGGTATTCTAAATGAGGTCTCAATAATTGCTGTAAAGCTCTTGAGCATAACTTTCCTGGATGCAAATTCACTCTTTTTCTATACATCCAAACATTCTGTTGGCTTCCCTCATTGTCCTAATGAGGACACAGAAGACTCTACAGACCCCTATCACACTTATCTTCCTGGAGCTCAGAAGCACCCATGTGACATGTGTGGTGTACTGCATGGATCGCTTTGCACAGATCAGCTGGAATTTGGGGAATTTCTGTGTTTGATGTGAAAGTGTAGTCAGTCCAGCAGGTCAGCCACATTGGATTTTAGTTTGACAGGAGATCCATCCTTCCCTCCATTTTCTAACTGCTTCATCCAATTCAGGGTTGCGGGGGGAACTGGAGCCCTGGCAAGCAACGGGCACGAGGCGGAATATAGCCTTTACGGGATGCCAGTCTATCACAGGGCACACACTTGCTCCAGAAACCTTTGGTCTGTGGGAGGAAAGCAACGCACCCATAGGAAAACCACGTGAACACAGGGAGAAAATACAAATTCCACACAGATAGCACCCCAGGACTGGAATTGAATTCAGGGCCTGAGCACTGTGAGGCAGCAATGTTAACCACTGCATCGCTGTGCTACCCTGGACTGGAGCTATGGTGTTTTAATGCTTTCAGACAGTGAGCAACACTAAAAGGGGCCACATCAGCGGGTTAAATTGATTGATTTAAATGGTGAGGAGCCGCCCAAACGCTGCTTACATAATGTAATAATAATAATGTTTCTTTATTAGTCCTAAACAATTTCTTGCATTAGGAATTCGTCTTTTTGCATACCCCAGCTTTTTCTCCAAGGAGACACAGACACACAGACAGGGAGAGAAGCTTGGGGTCAGAGCGCAGGGTCTGCCATTGTATGGTGCCCCTGGAGCAGTTGGGGTTAAGGGGCTTGCTCAGGGGCCCAACGGAGTAGGATTCCTCTGCCGGCCGCGGGTTTTGAACCTGCAACCTTCCAGTCACAGACGCAGATCCTTAGACGCAGATCCTTAGCCACAGAGCCACCACTCCGCCCATTACATTAGCATTCACTCCCCACTCTCTCCACTCTCTCCTCTCCCTGGCCCTGCCCTCTCCAGGAGCTCTGTCCGCCTCGCGATCCGCAAGGTGCAGTACGCCCCAGAGCAGAGAGGCCCCCCACCCAAGGTGGAGACCACCAGGGAGTTCATCATGTCAGACAAGCCCCTGCACGTGGAAGTCAGTCTGGAAAAGGAGGTATGCAGTCTTGTGAAATTCATCTAAAAATGGGAAAAAAAAGATATTGCGTCAGTGGATAGACCACAGAGATGAACATCCTGAATGCTTAGTGTAAGGTGATTTATTAGTGAATGCTTGCAGTAGACCTGTGAGGCTTTGACTGACGTCCCCATACTTCTCAAATGGGCCTTCTCAAAAAGCAGCTCAGACTCCTGCCAGCCAGATGAGTCTGATGGATACACTCCGCAGACAGTCTGCACCAGCCTGGGGTTCACCTGATCTCCTGCAAGATATGATTCTGGCTTGGTTTTTGTGTCTGACAAAAGCAGGCAAAACAGAATGGTTGCTACCTATATTTTCTGATTTTAAGGTGAACGGAATTGAAAGATTTGAACTTTATGTGTAGGTTGAGAAGAAGAAAACAGTTCCACAAATGGTTTTTTTTTGTCAATTTGAAGAAAACCAAATGCAAAAAGACAAAGGAAATGGCCTTTACCTCACCCCACACAACCCTTCCCCTCTCCCACTCATCCAACATAGAACTCCCACAGTCCAGTCACACATCGACACTGGCTTCCCCCTGAAACCAGTGTTGACTGTCAGCAGCAGCAATCCAAACCTCCACTGCCCCCTACTGGCACCATGGATCCTAGCAGACAAACATTTCATAGAAATCTCATGAAAGAGAAGCCAGGACCCAATGATGCCTGGACAGCCCGTGAGGTTGGTTTCAGCTCTTATGACAGATTGGCCCAGATTGGAATCACTAAGATAGAGTTACAGAGTGGCTGGGGTGACTGCCATTAAGAATACAATTCTGCCTAGTCCTTTCCATTATGAAATTGGTACAGTGTTTAAGCAGTGAATTTAATTATTTTCAAGCCAGGTTGATTTCCAATGCCAAAGCCTCTGAAAAAAGAGTGTTGTGGAACAGCAGTTAACTCAGTGTGCAATTCATTATTTTGTTAAAGATGGGATTTATGCAGCTGTGATGTAACAAACATATCTTGCTTAAAATTAAGTCATTTCTCCAATTTAGCTTTAAACTGTGTCCAAAAAGTGTGATTTTGTAATAGTACAGTATTAAAACAATGATTAGCTTGAAACTGTATCTCAAAAGTTTCATCCATTTGTTGTGTGGTATTAAAATACCAGTGGGGAAACTGTGGTCATTTTAAAGTTTAAACCAATCTGCAAGAATTGGCATGATGGTTTGATAGTGACATGGTTAGTGTCTCCACATTGTGTACCACAGAAAAAAATAGTGAGAAGTAGTCAGTTCTGGAGAATGATTTATTTCTAGCTAAAAGGAAAGCAAATTCTTTGGCTGAGGGGTTAAACAAATGCATTTTATCTACCACTCCCAGATCGGACTTACTTCCTTTATTGTCCCAGATGGGAAATTTGCTTTGCAGGCAGGTAAAAGACATAACACAATACACAATGCATTTCACGCTACGACCCTGTTAACAAATAAGAAACATGCTTTCATAAAACAAGTTAGCTGCTTAAGTAATCTTCCCAATTTACAGAAAAACAAAGAAACTGGGACATCGGTGTGTGAAAGAAGTAAGATGCAGACAAGATGAAAAAATAAAGTAAAATATACAGTAAAATCAGTTGTTCAAATTAAGAGGTTAATAACACAAGGGAATAAAGGTTAACTTAGTTCTATTGTGCTGAAATCTGGGTAGTTTAACTTCCTGACTTCATGATGGTCTTAAATTTGCTTAATTTTGGTCTTAAATAAAGCTTAAATTTGCTGCGCAAAGGGCGGTCATGACAGTCAGTGACCATCTGACAGGCCATCTGCACTGCTACAAGTAGTTTGATGCAGATGTCTGCCCGCTGTAGCTGTTGTGCACCAATGACTTTGCTGGCTGTTTTCACCATCCTGCTCAGTCTGTTTCTATTCACCTTACCAAACCAGGCTACCACAGTGAGTGATAGAACAGATACAATTAAAGTTCTATAGCTTACAGACATGCAATTACTCTACTACAATTAGTGCTGTAGATGTCTGAAGCTCAACGTTCATCTCTGTTGACTTTTAGTTTATACAGGAAGCTAAACTATCTGCTTTGAAATTCAAAGGAATGTAAGGTGAAACACTTGCATTTTTCTCCTGACCTTTAATTTAGTTCCCCACTGTCTTTGTCATCTCATGCAGAGCAGGTTCAAAATCTAAGCAGGCTACTTGCAGAGGAAAGAAGCAATAAGAAAACAGGGCTTCTCAAGGCTGATGTCCCAGTCACACAATCTACAATTTCTCAAATTTTGACGCTTATTCCAATGTGTTTTTTTAACATGGAAATTGGTGTTATTTGTGGAATCTGTGTGTTACTAGTAAAATGATATTATAGTGCAGGAGTGTTTCCCAGGTAAACAAAACAATTGCAACAAAACTGAAAAAAGGAAGAATACGTTTATAGGAATAAAAACGATTAACCTCTTTCTCTTCTTTGTCTCCAGACATACTATCATGGAGAGCCCATCAATGTTCATGTCGCCATTAATAACAGCTCCAACAAGACAGTAAAGAACATCACTTTAACAGGTGAGGACATGTGTTAGGGTGTTGGTTCAGGTCTGTTAAATAATGTACGTGTATGACACCATGTTCCGATTATTCCTGACACCGTGTCTCAGCCATAATGTGCCTGTTTGTCTCAAGGAATGGTTTATACTTCTGATACAAGTCAACAGCAGTGGGACAAAAGGCCTAGATTTTTAGTGTTCAGTTTGCGTTAATGGCACATGATAGAATCATGTCATGATGCAGAAGAATGAGATAAGAGCATAAGAGGTTCTTTTCCACCCATATACACCATTTGGTTGCGGTGAGGGACTGGACAATCTTATCCAGCCATTTCTCAAAGGACGTCAGGATATCAGCTTCATAGATGTTGCTGATTAGCTTGTTCCAGACTCCTACAACCCCCTGTGCAAAGAAGTGCCTTCTGTTCTTCGTCTTACATAAATTTCCGCTTAGTTGCCACCTGTGGCATCTGGTTTGTGTTTTTCTATTGAAATCAATGAGAGGGCTGTGGAGAGGCGGTCTCTTCAGTGAGCCTGCTAGGCCGATGCCAGCTAGCTGCGACTGACCTTGTTCTGTGCTCTGTTTTCTCAGTGGAGCAGGTCACCAATGTGGTGCTGTATTCCAACGATAAGTATGTCAAGCCCGTGGCTGTAGAGGAACCCAGGTGACTATCCTTAACAGACACGTGTACCTTCATAAAAGGATATGATAAGAGAATATCTTCCAGCAGTAATCTTTCTAATAAAATAGAAATTACTAGAAAATACTAGGATTACAAGGCATTCTTTCCATAGATGACTACAGCATTGGATCTACCTGTTTCGAAGCCAATAAGATTTGAAAATAAACCAACTAAAAATTATTAAAGCAAATAAACCTCATTTAGCTAGATGCATTATGTATTGCGGCTTCAGATGAAAGGTACCAAAACTATTGCCTGTAACAGTGGCTTTCAGAAGAGCCATGTAGAGTTCAGGGTTACACTGGGCACAGAGAGAGGTGGCACTTGTCCTCACTGAGACAGAGCAGCCCCTCTCCTGTCCAGGCAAAGAAAACAATTCTAAAGCAGCTAGGCTGGAGCTGTTTCTGTCTCTATAGTTAGTTAAATGTGCTCACAGCTAAACTTTCTACTATCTTGCCCTGTGATCGTGCTCCAGCTCTAACATGGCTTTCTATGGTATGCCAGTGATCAAGTGCCTTCTGGCACCAGCCTCAAGAAGGTCTACACTCTGCTGCCGCTATTGGCTAACAACCGGGAGAGGCGGGGCCTGTCCCTTGATGGGAAACTGAAGCACGAAGACACCAATTTGGCTTCTTCCAGCATGTGAGTGGACAAAACCCCCAGGACAGTGTGTCCCAGTCTTTCTTTCGTGTCAAAGAGTTGGTCTTTCAAAATGGTAAAATAACAGCAGACCACTTTACGTGCTTTTACTAAAACATTTTTTGTTATAAAATAGCAGCTCTCTAAGCATCTGTCTCCAATATGTCACTACCTAGGGGCTAGAACAGAGCACTACACCGATTTATTCTTAGGCTTAATTAACTAAAGGTTAATTGGCTTCTGGGAAAAGAACAACTGACAACAAGCGATGACGTGGATGGAGGAGCTGTCCCTCCTGTGAGGGCTAACGGATTTCCTTCCCTGTCCTGCAGAGTGAAGGAAGGTGTCCTGAAGGAGATCCTGGGAATCCTGGTGGCCTACAGGATTGTGGTGAAGATCATTGCTGGCGGGTGTGTAGACTAGGGACTCGGCTGATCCAGACAGGCAGGACAGTCCCCAGCAGTACTGCAGCTCCAGTGGTAGTAGAACCAGGATGACGAGTAACACATTGACACACAAGTTTTTTTTAAATGCAGAATTTCATATCAGTACAGAAATGGAAAGTTTAGAATAAGGTTGTTTTTTTTCTCTGTCTTCAAGACACTGCAATGGTAGATGAGAACAGATGAAATAATGACTGGAATACGAAGTGCCCTGCAGCTCCTTCCTTAACCACCTCACACACAGCCTTATAGGACAAAACCGTTTCATCTCTTTTTCTTAAAATGAACCAACTTTAAGAAGCAGGCTCATATTACCATTTAATAAGAAATGTTAGCGCCGATAGTAATGACACTTTTGCTTGTGGAAAAAATGTGATTTAAATTTACTTTATTGCTACGGCTTTCCATGTTCCTCATGATTTGGAAGTACCAGCTACACTTTAATCTAAATCACTGCTTGAACCCTCATAAAAGGCCTAGCTTAAGGACAGCCGGTATGACTTCTTGGCACACTGCTCTTCCAGAATGTAGAGAGTGGCCTTTTCTGGCAGAGCTTAGTGTGAGATGTGACTGAAGAGTGACACCTTTTGCCAGGACTCCAAGTGGCGATCAAGACAGTAGCAGAGGGAGGATGACAGTTTGGTATAGTGGTGCTGCAGTATGATGCTGTGCACCTCAGGTCCTGGCAGGTGCCTGAGAGACAGCAGGTCACATCTGCTGGCACATTGAATCTGCAGCCAATCCTAAGCCATCGGTAATCTGCAGCAGATCGAATCTGCAGCAGATCTCAAGCCATCAGTTAGGGTCATGAGTGTGCAGCAGGTACACATTTGACCAGGCAGTTCCATCCTTCCCAGCCCTGCAGGCCCTCCATTTTACTGTATGGTTTACTGTATCTTAGTCATATACTGGTTGTTCCTTTAGGTCTTTTGCACTTTAATACTCTAAATACCTACCTCATTAAAGATAGTTACTTCTGAAACACCTGAGAGCCAGGTTACCAGTGTTACTCTTATGTGGTTAATGAAATGATTGGAACTACTGTGTAACTGAGAGCTCAATTTGGGCTCTCCAAGAACTGAATTTGACACTATTGCTCTACAATCTCAGAAATGTGTAACAAGGCTTTGTTGTGAAGACCATCTTCTGTAGGTTCATGTCTGCTTGAATGGAGGTTTAAAGCTGCTTTTGTCTTTTGCTTTGTAGGATTGTGGGAGATATGGGTGCCAGGTTAGTTGTTCAATATTTTCTCTTCAGTGGGTGCCCTTTTTTAGTAGTTGAAAGGCAGCTATTGATTCAAAAGCTCAAAGATAAAAAAAAACATTTTTCTATTGCAAAACAAATACTTCTTGGTCAATACCTACTGTCAAAAAATGTCTTTTCTCTAAGAGAAGTAACCTAGGGATGTAAAATATATGTTGTTTTTATTGCCCAAAATGTGATGTGACTGTTATTTCCAGTTTGAGCAAACCTAAATGCATCATTCAGAGGTCACTGCTGAGAAAAAAAGTACTGAATGTTTTTAAGACCTATTGTCCTGTTCTGTGAGGGCAGTGTCCTGTACCTTTACTGATTGTAAATTGAAGTCTCTCCTGGGGTAATTTGGGATAAAATTGAGATGACTTGATCACACTTTAGTTTAGGGGTTGCAGAATATGTAAATAGATAAGCCAGATCCAACTTTTCCCAAATGGCCCTAGAATTAGGGTTATGGTTCAGGACTGGGGTTTATTCCTAACGTGCAAATAATCTACAGTAGAAGGTGGTGATTATATTATCTCTATCACTCTGTTAATATATCCCATCTATAACATGTTTATAAATGACATTTGCAACCCCTAATCTTTGCATAAAAACTGTAACTATTGACTCCAGGTCTCTAATCTAAGTCTCTGCTTTCCAGTGAGATTGGGCTGGAACTGCCTTTCAGGCTGATGCATCCTAAACCTGAATCCGGTACGTTGCTGATCAAGTAAAGCAGCTAATGATACTCAGTGGAATTAAAAACAGGCTTGATGGTTTTCAAATCGGAAATGGAGTAAAAATGTGCGAAGGCTCCTGTTGCTTAGCTGTGTATCAGCTTGCTGTCAGCAAGAAAATGAGCCTGGGTTCAAGTTGGGAATGAGTCTAAGACTGGGGCAGCAGTTTATTAGTGGGGAGGAGAGCATTACTCTGCTCTCCTCCCCACTAATAGCTGATGTGAGGTGAGCGTTCTGGCGCACTATGGCTGCCATCGCATCATCCAGGTGGATGCTGCACATTGGTGGTGGTGGAGGGGAGTCCCCATTACCTGTAAAGCGCTTTGAGTGGAGTGTCCAGAAAAGCGCTATATAAATATAAGCAATTATTATTATTATTATTATTATTATTATTATTATCATAAAAGTGAATGTCTGAGTGGAGCAAACAATATGTTATAAAAGGCTAATAGAAAGAAAAGCGTTTTGAACCCCAACTCAGAAACTGAGGTCTGAAAAATACCCATGGAGGCAGTTGTTTTGTTAACCTATAGATTATCCTCTAATCCTTGGATGAAAGTGTCTTATAATTGTTTTTATTACTGGTACCTGATTATTGCAAACAAGTAAATCGCTCCACCTGTGACTAGTATGATGTGTTACAAGGGCAGACATGCTGTGAGTGGGCTGGCCGCAGAGCAGTTACACACGGGCACGCTGGGGAAAAAATACAATCGGTCTGTAAGAGGTTAGAGGTCTGCTCCCTTTCACAGTCCTTATTTACTCTAAGGTCTAAAGATTTGCTGTGAAACGTACAGGGTTGGTTCGGAATTCACATTCACGCCAACCATCCTGTTAAGCTGAAGGGCAAATTAATAAAAAGTGCTGGAGAGAACAATTTGTATGAGAGTAATAGATGTAATCCTTCATTGTTGAGCTCCAATACAATTTCTTGCTGTCTAATTTGTTTTCCCTTTTCTCTTTTTTTCTGCTTCGATTGGCATCTTACACGCAGTGAAAGAAAGGTAAAGAATCAGTGATGTTTCCACTAAGCTCTACCAATTGCTGTTTCCCATTACAAGTACTGCAAGACAGATTTCACATTGGAGTGTTCAAGTAGAACAGGACTTCACCCCCTTAATCATTATACTGAGTTTTCCATTCAAGGCTTCTTCAGGGGAGTTGATAGTCCAAAGTGGATACTGGAAACCACCGCCTTAAACACCAAATAAATCTGAAATATCAGTTCCAGCAATAATCCACAAGTTCTCCACACCTGAGACTGACATTGAACCTTGTGTAATTTGCTGCTACTGTTACCCTTTGCAGTTAAAAGTGCTGGGGTGTAGGAAACCAATTCATGATGGCAACAGAGGAACTGGCCACTATCAAAAATGAGTTGACTTGCTGCTGTGTAGCCAACCAGCTTTAATGTCTTCCTTTCTGTCTTCACTGTCCAGTTTTATTTTAAAAGCAACTGCTGGTACTTGCAGCAACAGCCCATTACAATGACTTTTGTTTGTGAAAAGATAAATGTAGGCTAAATGTTCTAATGTAAGCTAAAAGGAAGTTATTTAAAGTATCATTTTTTGGGAACTCAAGGAGCTCAAGGAAAACTGGACTTTTCCCCAGACACATAAAAGTGGTCTTTTCATACAGATGTTTTTTCCTGTTATATAAACTGCCCGGTGGCTTGTATCCTGTTTTGTGTCTTTGTTTTCACTTCCTTCTCTCGTTGTTTCTATCTTGTGATCATGTTGTTGGCAGCTCTTAAAAAAACGGATTACATCGGGGGGGGAAAAGGCAGATTATAAAAGCCACTTCTTTCCAGGCCGCGCAGTCTGGTCTAAACTATACGGTGTCTCCCGGCAGCGAGCTGGAAGAGGACATGGTGTTCGAGGAGTTCAAGAGATCCTACTTGAAGGGTATGGTGGAGGATGAAGAGGAAGGCAACATCTCCCCCGCAGAATGAGAGCTACCAGGGCAAGAAGGCACTGAAGCTGACATAGTATACATGCCCGTCCTCTAGAGAATTTAGGTAGCAAGAGCCTGTGGTTGCACTTTATATCAGTATTCCAGGGAGTGAGTATCAGAACGTGACAGGCTGTGGTGTGGTTAAACAATCCAAGGGCCACGGACTTACTGGTTGGTGTGACCTTCTGGTCAGTAACAGCAGCGCGCCAACGTCTTTTCACCTGTTCCATCCATTTTCTCTGGCTCATCATCTTCTGCCAGTCAGTCCGTTCAGCTTGTCAGCTTTCTTCCAGTGCCCTGGTGTTATCTCAGCTCCTCTTTCTGGCTCCTTCAGACACCTGCTAGTCAGACAGCTGGTGTTTAAATCGTTTGTCCAGGACATAACCCACAGCTGACTCCTCTTGTGCTCAAGCTGACTGCCACTCACAGTCATCCAGGCACAAGGACTTTTTCTGAATTCTACAGTAGGTTCAGACAACTTTCTATCTGCAAGCATTTGCCGCTGAAAGAGAATGTAGGATACTGTATATATATAATAGGATTTCAGTAATGTTATTCTCCGGGTTGTGTAGCTCTATCAACAATGACCTGAATGACTGGCAAAGTGTGGAATATGGCATCTGGAGGGCTGGCATGGGGCAGGTTTCCCGGATCTCTTTAAAGGAAGAGCTGGGAAATACTGTTAAGCTGGCCCAGTTAAACCAGCAGGCAGCTGGATTGGAATGACAAATGGCAAACAAACTCTACTGCACCAGGACTGGATAGCCACGCAGAGGACAAATGATAGGACAACATTTTAGATGCCGCAGTCTGCTACAGTTCTGAGAGTGCTGAGCTGGTACTCCAGTCTCCCCAGTTTTAGAAAGTGAGTTTTTTGACAGGAGATTAGTGGGGAGTATGCTGTAACTAAACAACAGCATGAGCACAAAAAAGGGTAGTGATGTTGAGATAAACCACAGAAAGTTAATGACCTTTACAACAGGAATAGGAAGTATCTTAATTGTAGAACGTGTACAAGAATGGTATCAGTACAGTTGTCTTATAAAAACAGTGCGCAAAATAAGACCTAAATTAAAACAGAAATCCTATACCTTCACCTTCATTTCTAGGTTTGTTTTGGGTTATCTGGAGAAGATGTGACCATCTGTATGAAAGCTCTTTGCTGCACTCTGACTGTAGTAAATATCTTAAAACTGCAGGAGTTAAGTTATTGTAGATATCTTGGCTGCATCAAGTGTTATGAAGATGTAGTGTATATGGGAGAGAAAGCTGTTAACTCTTACAGACCTGTAGCACTATTTTACCTAAGGTAACAGAGTAAAGTCCAGTAGCACTGCCTGTTGTTGTATGGAGTCTGTTAAGTGTAAAGCCATCCCAGATCAAGTCTGAATTATTGATGGTGGAGTGCTATTTGGTGGTGTTCCTCCTTTCCTTTTACTTTATCTGTAATGTATTATTTTTCATTCATAAATCTCCCAGAGCTTTTACCTGCATGGTCTGTAATGGCTTTTCTTTTTTAATAAAGGTTTATTATAATGAGCACAATTTTGCTGATGTCTTTAGTACAGTGTTCTTGCACAGATCCATTAATGGTTGTTTAAGCTGTTACAGAGTGTCTTGTCAAAAAGCACAACACATTCTGATGCATATGCGAAGGACGTATATCAGCCCTGCACAAGAAACAAGCATTTTTAAGAGCACCAATTCAGCTTGTGAGATACAGAAAATCCCTGTTTGGAGTACGTAAAACTTGCGAAAACCAGAAAATAACATGGTCAATAACATCAATCTGTGGTCTCTTTCTTTACGTCTTTATATTTAATGGAGTTGAAATTTGTTGTCATGTCCCACAATGTGACTGGAATAAAAAAATAAAGCAAACTAAGCTGTCAGCTGTCAAGACAAACAGTCATGTTAATTACCACGCCATTAACAATCATGATACTTGCTGTGGAGGGAAATGGATATCTGTATACCTAGGGTCCCCTGTTAAGAGGGAAACTGTCATTGAACAAACCCATTACAATTTAAATTATAAGGTCAATTTTAAGTTCTGATATAGAGGGTTTGGATAATGTGTATTAATTTATTATGCATTGTCTTTCAGGTTTTAATTTGTTGTGTAGAAGTTATTCTGGTCGTCAACTCCAATGGCAACACTAAATTTTGAAATAAGAAAAGGATTTTAGTTCCATGAAACAACAATAAGCTTATCAGTAAAAATAAATAAGACCTGAAATACTTCATGTACGTTGGACATGAGAAAGGAATACAGTTAGGAATGCGTGTGATCTTCTAGTGACTGTCTCTCACTTCCATCAGGACACTTAGTATTTTGTATTTTAAAAATGATACACGAAGAAAGTGAACATTTATAGAACTGCTAGAGTAATATGTCACTGAATTGATTGTAGGACTGGCGCTGCATTTTCTTCACAAACAAGTAGGTTACAGGTCATATTGTATTTTTATTGTGAATTTGATATCACTCTGACTTTTTAATCATTTGTGTTTCAATGTATCATAAGAATATGTACTAGAAGACCTGCTGTAATGCAAAGAGAAAAGGTTGTGCTTTATTTCCATTTCAGTTATTGAAACATTTAGGATACACACTATGTACTTCACGTACCATGTACATCATGAAGGCTGTAGAAATGAAAACCAGCACATGGAATGAGAAGCAGTTAATGGGCTGAGGGCAGAGGGTACTGGTAAAGGGAGTTACTGCAGGCTGGAGTGAGGTTGCATATGGTGTGCCATTGGTATCAGTGTCAGAACCACTACTCTTCCAACTTTTTTTACAATCCTGAATAGTTAGTGAATGTGTGGAATTTGCACATGCTACACAACTAGGTAGAGTTCCAAATACCGTTCTACCAGTCACACCATCTAGAGAAAGCAGAAAAGCAATTGAATAGCCACAACATGCCTGCATATACAGATGAAAGAGTAGAGATCAAATCACATTTCAAGAGGATTTAGACACTGTTCTGATCTGGGGAGATACCTGGCAAATGAAATTGTATGTGGATAAATGTAATGTATAAGGTGCAGGTAGCGCATGGATAAATTTAAATGTATGCCTTATATAGAACCGAAATAAAAGCAAAGCCTGAGAATACTATTGCTGATTCATCGTGACAATGTGGAGAAGCAAAAAAAAAAGGCCAACCATGTTTGGGTATATAATCAAAATATATATATCAACAAAAGTGATATCAGAATTATACAATACACTAGGTAGACTTCGTGTAGAATATTGCATTCAATTTTAGTCACTTTGCTGCAAGATGGGTATTGCTGTTCTTGATGCAGTGCAAAGTAGATAAGAGAAACTAATTTCTGGCATGAATGGGATGTTGAATTTAGATTGAGTCAGCTAAGTCTGTCGCCTGGAACAGAGAAGATTCAAATATTCGTAATCATGATGGGTTATTGACCAAATTGATCAGGGCGACAGCTGCAAAATCAATGACACAATGACAAATTACAGATTAAGAACATTCAGGAAAGATCATGGGAGTCTATGCTTTAAATACACAATTATGATGTCTGGTACAAAGTTCATCATTATTGAAGCCCTTGGGACCCTTTAAAAAATATTAAATGACTTTAAACCATTTACCAGGCCTCCTCTCGCAACCAGCTTTTCTTATGTTCTTCTGTATCTTAAGGCATTTTCCCAGATAGTCACTTTGAGATAAAGGTTTCAGAAAGCTGGAAAATTGTGGTAAAAGATGCATTAGCAACATTTGCATTAATTGCATTAAGATGTGTCTTAATAAATCCTTGTGTGCAAAGACTGCATATAACCAATTAAATATAAGCTCTTAACTTCACACAGCAGCTGAATTGAAATAAATCCAGTCATACATGTCAAAAACTGAGCTCTACAGTACAGAGAATTGTTGGTATTAAATTCTGTAATATGGGTTTGAAGCAGTTAGAACATAGATGAATAGGTAATACCAGGATTACAATGTTACGCTGTTTATTATGAGTGCAATGCAAAAAAACATGCATTCAGTTTCCATTACACATACTGCAAAACGTATTACTAGTCTTTTATTCTACTTTTCTCCATAAAGCACCAGTCTTTTAATTCTGGTTATCTGAAAATTTATGTGCAGCGATATTCCCTACCATACTGAAGGCTCACATTCAAATATGGTTTCTACTTGACCAAGACTGCATGGTGCTCGATTCTGAAAAATATTAGCATTTTCTATTCCATGATCCTGTATTATAGCAGAACTACTTCCTAGACCATTAGAATAATGTGCCATCAGTAGCTGGATCGTTTTCCTTAGACATTTCATTTAAATCTTTTTTATTTAGAAAGGATAATAATAATAATAATAATATACAGAGCAAAATCAAATGACAACAGCAAAAATAAAAATAAAAACCACAAAATGTATCCACAGAATCATAAATCACAAAGTACAATCACTTTATTGGAAACATTTGGAATCCATTAAATCCAATCCACCCTCTATTTAGACAGGCAGGCATCCGGATACTAGGAAAAAAGTTCTACAGGGAGACAGGTCTGCATTTGGCTTCTTTCTGTTTGCCTCCCTTCCTCCATGAGTTTCACACCTTCTAAAAGCCTTTTCTGGGTCACTTCCATTGGGACAGTGGCACCTTTTTCGGGACATATACCTGCATAATCCCAGCCTGCTCTTATACAGGTTAAAGTTTTGTTCATTCCTACTAAGGCATAAAACAAATGTGTTTAGTGACCTTTTAGTTTCATTGTAAGTTTGTTTAATCCGGTTCGTTTAAATCAGCACACTGAAAGCCTGTTGTTAATTAAAACCTTTGTGAAATTAGGCAACCTCCTATGAAGAAACAAGCAATTTTCTGGAAAGACATTTAATTTCTCTAAAGGTTGGAAAGTCAAGGTCTGGCACACATCTTTGCCAGATTGTCTATTTTGAGGACAACATCAAAATAGATTTCCCAGCAGTCTAATTTTCTTACAGATCCAACTCCAGTTTCTATTGAAATAGTACCAGACGTCAATTAAATTGCACAAGGTATCTCACCAGATCAGAACTGTCAAAACCTACAGAGGCTATGTGGCTTCTAAAAAGGTGCCAACTTCACATAAACAGGGCTCCCTGCCCACTGGTACGGCGATGCACATATTAGTAAGGATGGCATTCTGTGAGATGCTCATATTTCAGTTTTCACTGTGACTCGGGCAGCTCTAGATCAAGTTTTCTGGCTATGGAAGAGGTAAGAGGTGAACTAGCTACATCCCGCATATTAAAGAGTCCATTTAAAACATAAGATTAGAGATCAGAGCAATAGACGTAATCAGAATTAACAATGAAACACATCAGGGGAACACAAGTAGAAACTACGTGGAAGTGCATCTAAAACCCAAGAACAGGAGGCACTTCCTTTTGCAAAGGGGTTTTGGGAGTGTGGAACAAGCTGCACAGGCATGTTGTTGAAATCAGTAAACTGGCTTCTTTCAAGAAAAGGCTGGGTGTGATCCACAGATCAATCTGCTACTTACTACCAAACGGGCTCTCGTTCGTGACCTTTCTAATGTTTTTGGAGAGCAAACCGTGGTGAGGGCTAGGAGAAAGCATAAGCTTTTCATGACAATGAAGGGCTGGAATAAATGGAGCTTGGCCAAAGTGTGCCAGGGAGGTCCTGTTTCAGTGGGAGAGTTGGCACCTTCTTCCTTTGGGGAGCAGGAAGGTGAGAAGTAGAGGGGAACACAGGGGGCTGGTGGGAGCCCTATGGCGGGGTTGTTGAATGCCTGGTGGGTGGTTCGTCCTCGTCACCCCAGCTGTAATCTCCCTCCTCGTATGTGGGGAAATCTCGGGACAGGGGCATTTCGCAGGAGTCGGGGTAGAGCAGGTAGCCACTAAAGGTGCTGGTGCTGTCACTGCTGGCGTACATACCATTGGTGCTGGTGTCCTTTACTTGTAGCCAGACGCGGTCGCCACGACTCAGCTGAAGCACCACCATCTGGGAGGCCGAGCCCAGGTCGCTCGGCTCTGTGGTCTTCACTACGGGTTTGAAGTTCAGGAACAGGCCCACCTTCAGCACCTTGCTGAAGACCACCAGCTGGTAGCTGAACACGTACGTGCCATTGACTGGTGCCATGTAGATGCCATTGAAGGGGTCGAAATGACCCTGGAGGTTGTATATGACTTTACCGAAGGGCACTGGGCGATTGGGAGCTGGGTAAATGGAATCTAGGGCAGCTGAAAACCCAGACTGGATAGTGGGAGAGCAGGGTCCTGGCACCCCCCTTAAGCCCTCATCCCCTTTCTCACCTTTGGTTCCTGGCAACCCGGCCTCCCCCTTCGCACCGGGGTGCCCTGCATTCCCTGGGGGACCCTGGGGACCCACCTCACCATGTGCTCCCTTCTCTCCATCCGTGCAATTGCACTGTCCCTCTGCCCCATGCTCCCCTTTTGGCCCCTGCGTCCCTTGCGGACCTGGGGCCCCTATACTACCCATATCACCCTTCTGTCCTGGATGCCCAGGAACGCCATCTGCCCCAGGCGGTCCCCTTACTCCTGCAGGTCCTGGCAGCCCTGTCATCCCGGGTAGACCCAGATCTCCCTGACACACCACTGGGCATTGGCCTGGCTCTCCCTGAGGACCCGGCAGTCCAGGTATCCCATCCAAACCCTGGTCGCCTTTGTCACCTGCAAGAATAGCACAAGAGAGCGGCCTCAATGAGAGTGACCTTCAACCCTGTTCATTAGCTCCTAAGCTCAACCCTTATTTACAGCAGGCTGTAAGAAAACTAGCAGTTCATCTTCAAAATCTCTCTAGGAGCATCAAAATATCTTCGGTTTCCTCCTGTAAACACTCTTGAGGGGATAGCAAGTCATAGGACTACAAGTTGCCCAGTAGCCCAGATGTTGTGGTCTGAGCCTGAGCTGTATCGTTTTCCCATTCCCAGAGCTGAAGAGCATGAGAGTTGAATGAGAGTTCGGCAGCTGTGGAAGTTTAGGTCGGGGACTCACCCTTCAGCCCACGTTCTCCCTTCGCTCCCCGGAAACCACTGACACCTTGATCGCCCTTCTCTCCGTCATCCCCTTTCTGCCCTGTGAGGGACACAGGAGGTCGAGAGTGAGGCCAGCATGCGAAAACGAATCGTTTCCTCTTTCAGTTCACTTAATGAGAATGCATGCACAGTGACAGGGTCTAGGGCAGAAACAACAAACCCCTCTGCTTTCTGCTGCACCACAGTCCAGCATTTTCTCCATCAAAGAAAAAACAGTACGCTATAGAACACTATCAGAAGAAAAGTAATCTAACATATTTCTAAATGTAAAAATAATAGATCACAGTAATAATTCTAAAGACTCAATCTACCTCTACTTTTTCTGTAACATAGAAAGGTACTATACGTAACACACAGAGAAGATTATTGAGGGTCTCTTAACCTTTCTTCAAAACCTTTCAGAAACAGAATTATCCCGGAAATATCCCACTGCTGAAATCACACTACTACAGAGTTGCGATTTTTGTCCACTAATTAAAACTATTGTTCTAATTCCTGCAGGGGCCTGATACTAACCTTTGAGCCCCTGTCGGCCTACGAATCCCGGTCGTCCTCTGAATCCACTGAACCCTCTTGGCCCTGGACTGCCTGGGTGGCCTGTGGAAATATAGTTCTGGGTTGGATTTAATTGCCACTGTAATTAACTGCAGTAAGAGCATTAGTACTGTAGGTATTTTATAGGAAGAAGCATAATGCAATAGAATAATCTAGTTTCCAAGTCTTGAGGAGGGTGGGACATTCTCAGCATACAGCTGTGCTAAAAGACTTCTCACAGTGTGTGCTTGAGGGCACTGTGGTCGTTTCTCAGGGCAGCAGTCTGTGGTCCAGACCTGTGATGTAGAGGGAGTAGCCTGCTCCAGGCTAAATGTACAGGGGAGAAGGAGGAAAGAAAGAAAACAAACAAAATTTGAAAGCCCAGAGGCAGAAACATCTGGAATGCAGAGTCTCAGACCTGCCTGTTAAAGCCTTTTAGGGTTCATTTGTCAAAAATGTGTTACTTAATTCTGAATTAATGACTGGATTGCATATATCATTAGTTTGTTCAAGAAACAATAAGACTGATCCACATTGCTATTTCCGATTAAATTTGGTGAACAGAACACAGAGATGTAAGAGGAAAAATAAAGTCCCATTTTGCCTAAAACCCTATGTGTACAGAATCGTTTCCAAGATGCATTGTAGAATCAGAGATGCTGGGAAACATTGTAGAGAAGGCCTGACAGACTCTGATATCACTACTGTGATAAACTCACATCATAAGCTTGTCTTATTTCTTATATTTTGCACTAAGAGAATTGAAAAGAGGTGCTCAATTTTAAGTTAGCGTAGTCTTTAAAATCACTTTGAGGCCTTGAGATAAAGTTTACATTTGTCCTCTTTTAAAAAAAGGAGAAAGATTGGTCGGAACAAACACCAGAACACCAGAATCCCTTCTCCCGCCTCTAGGAACTGAGCCGCTACCTGGAAGGCCTCTCTCCCCACGATCCCCCTTCGGTCCCATAGTGCCCTTGCAGTTCATGCACAGGCAGAACCAGGGGACGCTCTCGATGGGCGGCGGGACAGGAGATTCCAGCAGCATCTGACAGTAGGACATATCGGGCTCCAAACCCACTGTCTGACTCATGTCAGGGACAAAGGAACGGGATGATATGTTCCCTGGAAACGGGTCATTCTCTGTCAGGGGGAAGCGCTGAGGAGAGTATATGTGTGGTTGATCTGCGGGGTTCATGGGGTGGTAGTCTTGGTTGGGAGGAGGGTTTGGCGGTTTTTCCGGTCCACCCCGTTCTGGAGGAGGATGTGGCGTTATCATCGCTCCACACAAGGGCCATAGGAGCTGTAGACACAGCAGGAGGAGCGGGGTTTTCATTGTCTGCAATCGAAAAGATTAGTAAATTCAGCCACTGATTATTCTCCAAATATGTTATGCAATGATTCATTGAATTATAATCTATTTACAATTGCCCTACACAAATCATTCATTTACGTTTTTACACTAAAGATGTGGAATTTTTCAATTCCTTACATTTTCACCAATAAACAGGAATTTCTCTAAGAAAATACATGGTTTTTAAATGCAGTTCTCAAACCTGTTACAGATCATGATTAGTTTGTCTGAGAGGCAATGAGTCTTTCTCAATATCTCTTTACTATTCTGAAAAAATAAACAAAAAAGTCTGAAACCAATTATTTTTGTCATTTAGGCCCCGTGCACAACACAAAATGTCTGTTCTGATTTAAATCAATGTTTACACCACCTTTCAACATCCGTTAAAAGCTGTTTGATATTTTCCAAATTCAATTCTTTGAATCCTATGACATCCACACCCCCACATCACTATATTTAGTCCACCTAGGAGATAGAGTCTTTGTAATTGCTCTGATGTACGATTGCATTGTTACAGATGATGCTTATTAAATACTCCTATTTCAATGCTCCCATTTTCTTAACATACATAATTTACAGGAGCCAAGTGTTCTCCTCTCATCTGTCTGCCCATCCGTTTTGTAGCGTCTTTATCCAGTACTGGGACATGGGAGAGCCGGAGCCTATCCTGGTAAGCCACGGGCCCAAGGCAGGGTACTCACACTAGGGCAAGTTTTCCCAGAAGCCAATTAATCTAGCAGCATGTCTTTGGACTGCAGGGGGAAACTGGAGCACCTGCAGGAAACGTATGCGGACACGAGGAGAACATACACACTCCACACAGACAGCACACCAGAGCCAGAATTGAACCCAGGGCCTCGGCACTGCAAGGTAGCAATGCTCACCACTGCGCCACCCTCTTCTCATTTGTAATCTTTTATATATTCTTATGTTTTATTTAGTAAAACAGGTCAAGACATAATGTACTGTAGTGTTAAGTGAAAAAATGCCGTACTGCTTTTTGGCCTTTATACACCTATGAAATTCACAAAAAAATGATTGTGGTTAATCCACAATAAAAAGTATATATTGGTAAAAATAACAAAACTTGAACATTCAATAAGGGTTGTATTCAAAGTCACATTCATTATTATTAACATTAACATGATGTCAAAGGAAGAGCTATGACTAGGGCTAAATATTTTGAAATGATAGACCACAGTAGGCAGAATAAAGAATCCTGAGTTGACATCTCTTTTTAGTTTTTACATTTATTGTTTTCCATTTTCCATTTATCCATTTTCTAACCTCTTTATTCAATACAGGGTCGTAGCGGAGCCGAATTAGACCCAAAGTCCACTCCAACACAACTATTAAAAAACATTAAGTAATCAATACGTGGAGTTCACATACAGTATACCATGGCATGGTATAAAACATTCTGTGGTCAGAAAAGACAATTAAGGCATTTCTACAACCAACACATTGAAAAGACTAAAATTAGTCTATTTCCAAAAATATTACATACAATTTGACCATTTTTAATGTTTCATTTCCGTCCTCTTTACTGCTACTCCAGGAAGTGTTGATACAGTACATGCGACATTAGCAACGACACTACAACCATAGTAATTGAGAAAAACACACTGTAGATTTGTAATTTTCTGTGGCTTTTGTTTTATGCAGTCTGTGATTATAAATAATGATCTACACAACAAGAATCCCACACTCCATACTTAATGTAATCGAAAACATGCAAGGTGCTGTCCTCTTCTCATACTGTATTTTACCATTTCCGTTGAAAGATATCAAAAGAGAACAATCTCTCTAGTACTAAAAGTTTGCCACTGTCTTTATTTAACCTTATTAAAGTTTACTACTTCATAGCATAGTACACCTAGGTCAATCACACCATACCATGATTAAGAAGAGTTCTCATAAAGCGTAATAGAAATCTAGCAGTGAAAATGCATAGTAGAGACATGAAGAAACTGAAACATACCAACTACATACAACCAAAACTCAACCTTTACAAGGGTTCTGAGTACAGTGATAATCTTGTTTTTTCAGCACTGCCACTGTCAATGTAAGCATAACACAACCATCCAGAATTCTCTGGCAGTGAGCTTTGAAACTCAGGGCTCATTGTTCCTACACCCTATTCCAAAAACTGAGGAATTCCAGACATTTCCCAGGGACACCAGAATGAGCTTAGACGAAACAAGGCTTGCGTCCACCAAAAGGAATCGACCACTAGCGAAAACCAGCAATCTTACCAGTCCAGTGGTACAGTGAGTCATTAATCTGGATGACAAGACCTCTCCAAAGTGATCACCCGGGACTTGGGCATTATCAATATATAAGCCTCGCCCAAAATGTGACTACTGCAATCTGACTCACTGCCATTAGTGATACCTCACTAGCGTTCAGAATAAAACAACGGCGACATAAAGAAGCCGCAGTGAAATAACACCTCTTTGTGAGCCCTGATAGAAAACTAGGGCTTCTGTTTTTCCTATTGAAGGAAGTAAGATGACCTTATTAGCATTTCATGTTTCACAGCTGCAAAAAAAATAATAATAGGCTTTTCAGCTACAACTCTCCTCTTTGTTTCAGACCTTGATGCATCTGAATTGATTTTAAGATAACGGTTCATACATCCCTTCCCGGTTTGAAAGATGATCCTTTTGGGCCCGATTATTTCCATAACAGGGTTCTGGGAAAGTAAATCTTAGACAGCCTCATTTATGACCACGTGTCTTTAAGTGGGTTTACTGAGAATGAGGTCCAACGAAGGTCAGCTCTACAAAGTACAACCTTCCAAACCTACTGGTCAGTTCAGCATCATTGCTCACATTTGTTATGTGTCTGGTGGACACGAGCAAACAAAATATCACTTATTCTTTGTAAATGGATATTATGCACTACTATACTGTAACTTCACTTACAGATACTGATTTCAAACATTAAATGTCCATAAACATACTATTGTGACATTGTGGAAGTAAGTCTCAATGCACTCGCAGCATGACTTTTTGATATCAAAAGCTGTTTCGTCAGCACTATTTCAAATTAAAGAATTCTGTATAACCCAAGTTAGGCTTTCTTAAGAAGTATAGCTCTCTTAATTTAATCTGCCTCTTTACCAGACACAGTAGTATAGAAATAAAAACATTCTGAATGCTTTGAACTCTCCTGTGTCCTAAAATGTCCTTCATGCTTTGATGTTTACTTTCTGGGGGCCGCGAAGTCCAATTAGTCCATCAATTAAAATTCCCAAAGCAAGTGGAATTCTGAATGGTGCAAAATTTGCCAAATGTAAGAATTTCATACTTTGGACAAGACTTTCCTTGGGCGTCCTGGCTACTTGGTCATTTAAGATCCCAGGGCTGTTTGTAATATTGGGGTTTGGTATCTCTAGTGTACTGGTTATTTCCAGTGTGGATATGTTCAGTCTGACCATGCCTAAAGCTTCCCTTCAGTTTACTCTTTACCCTTTCAGTTCACAGTTTCTCACGCCTTCACCTGATCTGCTGTATAGTGGGGAAGCTGGAGCAGAATGACTTTTCTACGTCATCCAGTGGTATCCAGTGGAGGACAAAGTGGGTCCCCTCTTGTACAGTACCTTGCAAAAGCATTCTATTTTGTGACATTACAAAATGGTGCCTACAATCTTTTAAACTTAATATTGTATTTAAAAGTTAAAGTTTAAAGTTCTAGCATGCCTTAATAAATTGGTGTCACGTATGAATTCCACCACCTGCCTGTTAGATTCCTTTCCCACTGTCTTATGTCAATCCTGTCTTTCTAATCGCTGTCCTATGGTCTTCCGTGAGTACTGGTGTGGTACCAACGGCCTTAAAAACTGCTGCAGTTACCCCTGTGCCTAAATAACAAATAAGGCATCTGACAACCTAAACAAATTTTCACTCTATATCTAACCTACCCTTTCTTGCAAAAAAATGTGTATGGTGCTGTTACAATTTGATTGAACAACCATTTCATTGCCAATAACCTCTCCGAGCCCCTCCAATCTGGTTTCAGACAACTACATAGAACAGAGCTGCCCTGGTTAAAGTCACTAACAATTATGTTTTCTGATTCTGGTTCTCTTTCTATCCTTATTCTTCTTGACCTAAGTTCTACTTTTGACAACATTCAACTTAATTTCTTACTTCCTGATCTTTAGCCTATGTTTGGAGTTTCTGATACTGCTCTTAAATGGTTCAAGTCCTTCCTCACTGGTTACTACAACTTTGTTTCTCTTGGTATTTTCAGTTCTGAAATTGGACTTCTTAAGTCTAGTGTTCCTCAGGAATCGATACTGGGACCAAATCAATACTAGGACTCAAATCTTCCTTCATTTAAACTGTGACAAGACTGAAGTCATGCTTCTTGGCATCCCTTATCTACTATGTAAAGCCAATGCAGAAACCCTATCCGTGGATGGTACTGTGCTTGAGTTTAAAATCTTATTTGAGGAACCTAAGGGTGATATTTGATCCAGGCTTGATGTGCAACATGTGCAACATATTGTAAAAACATCATTCTCCCACCTGAGAAATATTGCCAGACTATATCCCATGTTGTCACTAACTGTTGATGAAAAGCTGGTAAACACTTTTGTTTTCTCTCAAATTGATTAGTATAATGCCCTTCTCACATAGATATCCAAGTCCACATTGAACAAGCTACAATATGTCCAAAAGTTGACAGCACCAGAAATTCGTGCCCCAGAGCTCAGGATATCTATCAATATGGATATCAGAGAGGCACCTTTCCTGAGCTCTTTCAAATCTAAAACCTTCTTTTTTAGAAGGGCTTTTATTTAACTGGTTCTGTGTTTGCTCCATTGATTTCCTTCTGTATTCCAAACCCTCAATGTAACTGTTTAATTCTCCTATCTCCTTTCATTGTGTATTTTTTTTCTCTCTGTAAAGCACTTTGAAAAGTCACTTTCAAAGGGCTCATACAAAATAAAGTTTGTTTTGACTGTTCAAACTAAACACGTCTAAGAAGAAGATACAGTAAACTGAAATACGATGATTGCATATGTATTTAGATCCATGAGCTCGATATTTGGTAGAAGCAGAAAAATAAGTATTTTCAGGTAAGACTCCACATACTTTGCATACCAGCTTCGTGCAGTTTTTGCCATTGTTCTTGGCAGATTTGCTCAAGCTCTTTCAAGCTGATTTGGCATGTCTGATGGACTGCAGTTTTCATGTCTTCCCACATATTCTCAATATGATTCAATTCATGTCTTTGCTTTGGCCACTAAAGGACATTCTTTTATTATATATTATTCTTAGGTGACTCCAGTGTAGCTTTGACCTGGGCCATTGTCCTGCTAAAAGGTGAATTTTGGTCTTAGTTTTAGGTATGAAGCAGGTTTTAAATTTGCCTGTACTTTGCTCTGTGTTCTCATCAGTCTTGACAAGCTTCCCAGTCCCTGCTGATGAGAAGCAGACTATATCATAATGCTGCCATCATGCTTGACAGTAGACTTGGTGTTGATTGAGGGATGCACTATGTTGGATTGTGTCAGATGTTAATGTTTTGTATCTAGAACAGAAAGTTCGACTTTTGTCTTGCCTATCCACAAATGCCTTAACTAATGCCACAATACAGCCACTGTTGATTGCACAGAAAATCTCAAAGAATTTCATTTTAAATCTTTTTATACACTTTCACTGGATGAGCACAGGGCCGTGTCTTGTCCCCCCTGCTGTACTTTTTATACACTAACAGTTGTAAGAACAAAGACACTGACAGACGTCTATTTAAGTCTGCTGATGACACAGCCTTGGTCAGCCTATTAAAGGACACAGAAAATCATCATGGGCTCGTACTAAATGGTGACTTGACTAAATGGTATGAAAGATCTCCTTGAAGTTAAATATTTTGAAAAGAAAGGAACTAGTCATTGATTTGAGGAAAAATGTGACACCCCTCCAACCTGCTGTGATTAATGGTCAGACTGTAGAAACTGTCAGTGAGTACAAGTACTTGGGACTGGTCATAGAAAAAAACATGAGACAGAAAAATGTTGTGAAACCATTTGTGAAAAAAGCCAATACAGACTTTATTCTTAGGAATAGCAGTTGTTTTAAGATAAAGAGAACTATATTAATACTTTTTTCATAGTCTTTCATTGAAAACATCATAACATGCTGTCTCACTCATTGTTATGGCTACATCAGGACTTTAAAATGTAATAGGTTGGGGAAAATTAGTGAAAATTAGAAACAAAATAATTGGCACAAATCTAATCAACTTAAGTATCCTGTATAAACAAAGGGTTGTAAAGAAGGCCAAGAGCATTATGGACTGTGTGTTTCACCCTCTCCATTGTGAATTTACACTACTGCCATCTGGGAGACACCTATGTGGCCCCAGGTGTAAAATTAATAGATTCAGGAAATCTTTCATCCCTGCTGCAATAGCTCTCTCAAACAATGTAAAGTAATTCTTTTATCTCCTGTAACACTATTGTTCCATGCTCTCTGTTGGTGATGTTGTCTTCCTTGTTGTATTGTTGTATTGGACCGTGCCATAAAACACATTTCCCCAAGAGGATAATAAACCTTGAATTGAACTGAATTGAATTGACCAGAATATTGTAACTTTTTCAGAATCACTGTTGACCTCATCGTGACATCCTACCAGTTTCCTCCTTGCCCTGCTGCACAGTTTGAAGGGACAGGCTGATCTAGGTATCAAGATGTCTGGGTGGGTTCCAACTATTAATGACTGATTTCACCATGCTTGCAGAGATATTTAGTCTTTAAAATGCTTTTATACCTTTCTCCCGATCTGTACTTTTCTACAACCTCATCATGAGTCTTTACTTGAAATTCAATACCCGACTGAAAAACCACATAAAGATGTGTATCTATTCTGAAATCTTGTGAACCACCATTATTAGACATATATAGAGGCCTCCCAACTCAATGTGTGACTCATTAGGTAATTTTGTGCACCTAATTTATGTTTGCCACAACAAAGTGTTTTAATACTAATGCAGTCTGGACATTTACTGTACATTGTTCTTTCATATTTGTTTATTCCTTTATTTTTGTTTTTGCTTAGAATGTGTATCATACAGTAGGTTGTGTACAGTATATAACAGTTGTTAATTAGTATTTTAAAGTGTTATGCCTGCAAACACTAACTTAAAGCAACAAAATGTGAAAACAAGGGTATGAATACTCTTATAAGGCACTGTACATGGTGTTTGGAGATCTGTTAGGATGAAAAGTGCTACAGAAATGTAAAAAGTTGTTGTTCTTATTAACAGCAAAGTAATCAAATTCCTATCAGAGTTCAATAGACATCAACACAACACACTTCTAT